TTTTTTTTTTTTTTTTTTTGTGGTGGGGGGGGGGGGGGGGGGGGGGGAGTTAGTCGTTCTAGTTGAAAAGCTCGAGAACTGCATTTCCCAAGACCGCTAATTTCTTCTTGCGCATGCGCGTTATGGATTTTTTGCTAGCAAGTTGGCTAAATCAGCCCGTGATAAAATGGTGGGTAAAATTCAAATAAGAGAAACTAACAGAGAGTTTTAAACTTCCGCTCAACAAGTCCCCGAACCGATACCGACTGTCACTGTCCCGGTACCTAGCTGTCCTCTAGCCAGTCTGTCAGAAATATTTAGGAAATGCAAGATCAGTTCTTGGTATTTCGAGATCGGACACCTGCACCACGTACCTTTCCCTTTTTGGAAGCTCGTCTGCGCCGCTGTTGATCCTTGTCAGGGGAGGGGGGTGCTTCCGGCGGCAATCTCGCCCTCCATGCCCAGGGAGACCCGGGTCGCTGATCCTGACCGTGTCAAGAAGTAATGTACTGTTTGATGATCGGGTGGGTCAGAGCCGCGGTTCTGCGCACTGACTGACTGTCCGAAGATTAAAGCTCCAGAATGAGGTAATTTCTAAACTTAACGGAACCACCTCGTGGATGGATCATAGTTTGGGTTTTACAAAGACATCAGCCACACCAGTCGTAACATTTAAAGCAGTTTAAAGGAGAGGCGATAATGTTTTTGACTTTGTGTGTTTGTTTTTGGAGTTAACCGAATTCAAAATGGCCGCCGCAGCTGATCATCCTTAGCGAACACAAAACTGAAATAAAACTCAGCCAATTTTACAGATGCAGAACTAAAATGTGTTGTGGTGGTAGCTGAGAGTCGTTGTTTTAACTCTAAACTTTTCCATTAACTGTTAATGTTTGACACATATCAGATGAGTTTATGAGATAAATCAGAACTTTGGGTTTGCTTTCTTGACAGGACAAGCTGAAGTCATCACACAGGGAGCAGAGGACAGACCCCCTGACCCAGAATGACCAGAAACTAGAGGTCAGCACGGACAACTTCTTCCAGAACCTGGACCGGTACTACAAACAAAGAACCCATGAAAACCTCAGTGGACCGAAAGAAGCTGGAGCAGCTTTACAACAGCTACAAAGGCGAGCTGAACTTTAAGTTGAAGCGTAAAGAAGCAAAACACTAGCTAAAAGCTAAAATGAACAAATGCTAACTAAAAACCTATGTAGCAAAATGTTGGTTAAAAGCTAAAAGTAGAAAAGGGTCAATAGAAACTAAAAGTTAAAAAAGACTAGCTGAAACATGCAAAACCTTTGCTAAAAGTAGAAAAGAGTTAAATTAAATTCAAGTGTAGCAAATACTAGCTAAAATAAGCACAAAGTCAACATGGATTAAAAAATATTAGCTGAAAATGGAAAGGGGCTAGTGAAAAGTAGCAAAAAATAAACTTAAAATGTTAGCTAAAAACTAAATGTAATAAAAGGCTGCAAAATGCAAGCTGAAAGCAAAATGCTGTCTAAAAGATAAAAGTAGTAAAAGGCTAGCTAAAAGTAACAAAAGTAAAAGAAAATGCTAAATGTAGCAAAAGGCTAACTAAAAACTAAACAAGTTTAGTTAAAATTCAGTCTAATGAAAAGCCAAAAGTAGCTAAGGATTAGCTTAAACACTGAATTAGCGAAAAGTTTAAAAGCTAAAAGTAGCAAAATGCTAACCAAAAACAGAAAAAGTTTAGCTTAAACATAAAAGTAGCAGAACCATAGCTAGAAGTAGACAAAAATAGAGCCACTTTGCAGGAGCAAACAATGTTTTTGTATGGGAAAATATCAGTTAATAAAGTTAAATATTTTGAAAAGTATAAAAGTTACAAACAAGTCATATCACTCATCTGAATGAGCCGAATGTTTTGATGAATAAACAGCTAAAATATAAGTTGGACTGCAATACGTTCGTTCACACAACGGAAACTTCAGATCTGACTTTCTGTTCCGCGCTCTCTTTTTTCTGTTTTCTTCACAGACCCTCACGATGAGAACAAGATCGGCATCGACGGGATCCAGCAGTTCTGCGATGACCTGGCTCTGAACCCGGCCAGCATCAGCGTTCTGGTGGTGGCCTGGAAGTTCAGAGCAGCCACACAGTGCGAGTTTAGCAGGAAGGAGTTCCTGGAAGGCATGACGGAGTTAGGGTAAGAGAGTATCTGAGTTAACTGCATCGGACGATGAATTATTTCTTGTTCTTTACTGTTCTCTTTGTGTCTCTCAGCTGTGACAGTCCTGGGAAACTGAAGGCCATCCTGCCCAGGCTGGAGCTGGAGCTGAGAGATGCTGCCAAGTTTAAAGACTTCTACCAGTTCACCTTCAGATTCGCCAAAAATCCAGGCCAGAAAGGTTTAGGTCAGCAGAGCATGTTGTTAAAATAGATGTGTGTCTAACACACTATCGGAAAGTATTCTGCTTGAAACCCTCTTTCTCTGTTCTTTTTATTTTAGTTTTAGAAAATGTTAGCCATTCATGATTTAGCAAGCACTCTGTTTTTTGTACATTTTCTTTAGACTACTTTCGCACACTTGCAGCTATTTTAACCATTCATACACAAAAACATCCATTTCATTCAGGTGATTGACGATGTGACTTGTTTTTTTGTAACTTTAATACTTTTCAGAATATTTAACTTTATTTACAAATATTTTCTCAATTGAAATACATGATCTTTGCAATTCCTTCAAAAACATTGTTCTCTTAAATCGGCTTTAGAAAGCTGGCCCGTTTTTAATCTTCTTATGCTACATTTAGCTTTTTGCATCTAGCATTTTGCTACTTTTAGTTTTAAATAGCTTTTTTTTATACTTTATGCTTTTTAACTTTTAGCTAAACCTTTTCTACTTGTAGCTACAGTTTTCCTACTCTAACGTTTAGCTAGCCTTTTGCTACATTTAACTACCATTTATTGCTTTCAGTTTTAAGCTAACATTTTGCTGCATTTAGCTTTTTGCTAACCTTTTACTATTTTAGCTTCTTGCCAGTTTTGCTACTTTTGGCCAGCATTTGCTCTTCTTTTTTCAACTTCAGCATTTATTAGCTGTTTGCTACTTTCAGTCTTTAGCCACCTTTTTGCTGCTTTTAGCTAACCTTTTCTAGTAACAAATTTTCCATTTTTTGTTCATAGCCAGCCTTATGCTACATTTAGCTTTTAGCTAGCCTTTTCTACATTTAGTTTCTAGTGACTATGTTGCTACTTTTGGCTTCTAGCAGCTGTTTGTTAATTTTAGATTTTAACCACCTTTTTGGGATGTTTAGCATTTGTTTTGCTGTTTTTAGCTAATGTTTTGACACTTTTAGCTATCATTTTACTATGTTTGGTTTGTACTTAGCATTTAGCTTCTTCTAGCTTTTAAGATAGTGTTCTAATTCTCTTTTTTTTTGTTACATTTCAGTTTCAGCTTTTTCAGTAGTCTCGTTATTTTTTTATTTCAGACCTAGAGATGGCTGTGGCCTACTGGAACCTGGTTCTGACGGATCGGTTCAAGTTCCTGGATCTGTGGAACCGCTTCCTCCTGGTTAGTATTGAAGATTTTCAATCATTAGCATGATGTTGAAGTATTTCATTAAGGATTTAATCCTGAGCTGTGTTGCATTCAGGAGCATCACAAGCGATCGATTCCTAAAGACACATGGAACCTCCTCCTGGACTTTGGCAACATGATTGCAGACGACATGTCCAATTATGACGAGGAAGGTGAGCTGATGAAGAGAGTCATGACCAAAAAAAACAGAAACAGAAGAACTGAAACTCTAATAAGGAAACTGTAAAGTCGAAGGAAGGAGTGTCTTTGTTTGCTGTTAACGCAGCATAAATATATATTTATTTCAGTCTGTCTGATTTCAATTCTTGTCCTTTTCACCGTCTCCTCAGGGGCCTGGCCCGTCCTCATCGACGACTTTGTGGAGTTTGCTCGGCCGATTTTGATGGCGAATAAACGCAACGCGACATAATGTTTGCTTCACGAGGTGGATGCAGTTCGTCTTTTCCTGATGGAGACTTTTGAAACAAACGAGCCACAAAGAAACCACGTCCGAGTAAGCCTGCCCGCAGTTTGAGATCAATCTGCACAAAGTTGCCTCAGAAAGGGGAGTAAAACGGAAACGCTTTTAGTCGGAAAAGAGGCTCGGCAGGAGAGGGATGGCTTTGTTGTTTTTGTCATTTGCAAGAGTGGACAGACTCTGGAGTTGCGATAAGAAAACGATGAGAACACCAAGACGAGCAGCGCCTGTGGACTCGTTAAGCACAGCGTGAATGAGCTTTATTAAATGAGGTATAAACGCAGGGAGACCTGGTCGTGAAGGTAAATCTGCATGTTTTTAACGCGACGCTGAGATAAAACGACTGCGCTCTGTCGCAATAAGAGCTGAGAAATTGTATTGTTTGTGTGTGTTTGGGTGGGGCCTGAAATGTTTTTCCTCCTGTGTTTAACGTTTTGGTAATTTGCAGAGTGAGTGAAAAATCATTTTGTATTGAGGCCGAAAAAAAAAAATAGGATGAAATTTTAGAACAGAACCATTTAAAGCATAAGAAGCATTTGGAAATGTAATTTTTAAACCGCTAAAGCTTTTATTTAGTTGTTTTTGCGTCATGTAGTCACCTGAACTCTAAGGTCTGACATTAACTATCCTGTGTGATGGAGAGCATTCACACCTGGCAGTAAACGTTACCTGCTCTGTGAGCAGATGGAGCCTCGTAACTCCGTGGACTCTGTGAGCAAAAAGACCTCCTGATTTTATCATTAACAAGTTTCAAACGCATTTGTGTGGAGTTCTTTTTAGCACAGAACTTGAAACCAACTTAATTACCTAACAGACGCAATATATGAGAAACGAAGGTACATGCACAATGATTAGTGACTTCACAGAGCAAAAATGGAATATTTTAACCCATAAACCTCCACCAAAGTTAAAAAATGTGCCTTGACAGCCGCCTCTGCGCTTTCTGTGTCGTCGCTGTAAACATAAAGCCACACTGGGTTTAATTAGGGGAATATAAAGTGACGTAACGCTGCTCGGACTGTTCTGTGACTGAAAAGAAATACGTTTTATTCTGCGTGGGTCCGGTGAGCTTTAAACAATCGGAACAAACGTTAAGCAAAACTCGCCCTAATCCACTTTGATTAATAAAATTCTGACGAAATGAGACATTTTTATTCAGAAAATATCTGATAGTTTATTCAAGAACTGTGACCTGATTGAAAACAACCAAAACAAACGATATTCGTGAGTATTTCAAAGCGTGGCTGTCGGCAGCTGAGCAGACTTGTTTTTTTTAACATCCAGGTAGTAATGCAGATGCTTGTGTGAGGTCACCTGAGTTCAGTAGGGGATCTGGACTTATTGTGTTCCGACTATCAAACATGAGGATTAAAATGAGCCAGACCACCTGTGAAAATGTTTTCACTGGACATCGGGGCCATATTTAGCGCAGTTTGTCTGCTTTGGATGGAACTGAGCTGAGTCTAAAGGGGGCCCCAGGGAAACTGATAAGATATATAAACTTTTTCCAGGTGAAAACGCTTCACCTCAACAAACTGCACGTGTACACTTTTTTTGTAATGCAGATTTTACAGCTACAAGTAGGTTTCACTTAACATTGTTTTTAAAAACTGCACAAAATGTTTGTTTACACTGTTGGGAGGTGACCTGCTGCTTTATAGGTCGAGGATGACCAATTCTGCTGCCGTCTAGGAGTGGCTGAGGATTGCAGCAGTTTTTATTGTACTATGGGCAAGTGCTAAATCAAAGACTTGAGCCTTTTTACTTTTTATCGCAGTCAGGGCAGCATATAATGTCTTTGTGCTGCTGAACACCCTGCGTCTGCTAAATGCAGCATGACGGGTAGAGCTCAGGCATCAACATCGTGTTTGCATCTCTGAGCACCAACAGTGATCTTTTTCTGCAGGTTTTTGTCGCCATAACAACTTTTTCTGTATTTTTATTTTTTTTTTGCAATTTCACAGAATCATCACTTGTTTTGGGGTAAATAGCTGCCTTTTGTTGTGTTAATAAACTCGTGTTGACGACTTCTAAACCGTACAGAGCTAAAGCTATAAGCTTCTGCTATTTTCTTTGTTTTGCCTCCAATAAGCCTTTTTTTTTTAATTGACTTTGGCTGCTTTTTCACATATTTTCTGTCTGCAAAGCATACCTCACCATTACAGCAGATTGTGCAGCGCCATTTATAAAAACGAAAGAAGAAGAAGCGCTGGACTTAAAAACAATATCTGAATGTCATATATTTAAGAAAAAAATTGGGATGCACGATATTATCAGCATGGTATCGGTATCAGCCGATATTGGTGATAAAGTTAAAATCGGACATTCCATCAAAATAATTCAACAATATAAAAGGCTCTTTTTTGTTTATATATTTATAGTGTTACATCATTTTCAGCCCCCTTGCATTTGGTAGCAGGCCACATTGATAAAGGCCATGCAGAATAGTGTATTTTAATTCCATAGTCTTTGTAAGTAGGTCTAAGGGAAAAAATATTGGTACTATCGGTTATCAGCCAAGTAAGTTTTAACATAGCAAATATCGGCCAAAAATCTAATATCGTGCATCCCTAAATAATAATGTGTCAGGAAGGGCATCCGGCGTACAAATAATTGCCATGTCTTCGTGCAGCTTAGTTGGCCGTGGCGACCCCTGAAGAAGGGAGACGTCGAAAGAAGAAAAAATAAATCCTGAGAGCTTCTCTATGCCAAGTAGATCACCTTGTTAATACTATTTTATGTCAAATTGTTATTATTAATGTGTTTTCATAGATCCAACTAAATTAGAACAGTGTTTTTGTGGCAGACTTGTTAATAAAATAATAATAATTTACCCTTTATTTATACAGGTAGTCTCATTGAGTCACGAGAACTCCTTTTCAATTAAAAAACGTCAAGATCCAATTTAAAGGTTGTTTTTCACAAAGTTGTTTTGACACCGTTTAGATTAGCAGCTTTTAATGCCTGAACGATTCATAGGTCAGAGTTAAGTGGCTTAGTAACAACATAAAAAAAACTTTTCCTCTGAAAATAATCCGTTATTGGACTGACGCTGAATGAAAAAAGAAGCCGAAGTTCAAATAAAAGCTTGAAAGCAAAACAAAGAAATGAGGGATGACTCAAGACTTATGCACAGCTCTGTAGGTGTGAATACGTGTCGGTCGTAAACTAAGGTGGTGTGGAAGAATGTAGACTTTAATAAGTTTAAACTGATTCTGAATTTTTAGCTCCGATTGAATACAATTCGGCGTCCCATCATTCATAACTTTTGATGATCGGTGTTTTGAAAGAAAACGTCCGACTCTTTTCTGTACAACAATCGTCTCAAAGCTCTGAACGAACTTTGGTCTAAGAAATGAGATATGTGAAGCTGACGCTTTGTTTCAAAGAAACGACAGTCTGTTTGGTGCCGGAACAAGAAAATGGTGCGAACAATCATGAAACATTGGTACTTCTTATTGTTTCTACTCGTGTAAATCGTTCTTGTTGAAACAGTATTACTTGTTGCTGTGAGGGGAAATGACAATTTACAAATTGAAAAACGTTTGTTCACCTTTAAAAATGTTTAATAAAGCACGTTGTTTCAAAAATCGTTCTAACATGTGGTTCTTCCTTTGACATCACTGGAGCCAGAGGTGAGTTCAATAGGAACTCTGGACCAGCTCTTTACCCTCACTAACCAGTCTACGAGAGTTTTGTGGACTCTGAGAAGACTTGACCGTGTTCCTCAAGGTACAATGTGGTGGGTGCTCCGTGAGTCTGAGATTAAAAGTCTGTTGTTATGGGCCATTCGGTCCATATACAAATGATGCAAGAGTTTGGTTCGCATAGGCCTGTCATGATAACAAATTTTGCTGGACGATTAATTGTCTCAGAAATTATTGCAATAATTTTGTTTGAAATTTGACAATAATTGGTAATTATTGTCCAATTTAAGAAGAAATGTTGGTTAATTTGTTTTGAGAGTAGTACCTTTTTTGACCACCGGATGGCAGTATAAGACTGAACCAAAGGATGGATAGTGAGGGAGCGAGCAGCGTGTCTCTTTTAAGAAAAATAGGAGGGAGGCCCCTCGCTGTCTTCGGTTTTCAAAATGGCGGACGCTCGGTGTGGTTTGAGCTCTTTAGCATAGCATTTTTCCACACAAAGCTTTTAATAAAAAAATCAGTAATCAAGTTCTCAGCTTCTTTTTGCAGGAAAAAACTACTTTTTACACAAAGGCACGGGTTTCAACCATGAATTTTTGGAGCTTCAATAAGAAAGGAGGTTTTTCCCCGAGGCCGGCCTGTTAGCTCGTAGCTTAGCTTCTCAGCTTAGCTGCTTTTAATGATCCAAACATGATTTTGGACAGTTAAAACAGATCTTAAAGAGAAAGGGAGGGGTCAGTGAAGAGCACCGGAGTTGAGCTTTTTGTCATCCAGTGTCTTCAGTAGAAAGAGAGACACAAAGAAACAATAAAGCCAATAAATGAAAATGAGGTCTATAATTTTTGTCATGCGATTAATTGATTTATTGTTTATCGTGGCAGACCTAGCTGACAGTAACCCCTTCAGGGTGAGATTTGGAATCTGCCAGTGCTGCCCGTTGTTATAACTTTTATGAACATAACTTCTTGATTCAGCCAGAAGGCAGAAATAGTCTGGTCCGTTGTGGTGAAGAGGGAGCTCCAAGGTGAAGCTCTGTTTGACGGTTGGTCTACGTTCCTACCCTCACCTGTGGTCATGAACTCTGGGTAGTGACCGGATGAACTAGGTCTCAGAAACAAGTGGTTGAAATGAGTTCTCTGCAGGGGAGCTGGACTCTCCCTTAGAAATACAGTGAGAACTTCAGCTATCTGAGATTCAGAACTGCTGCTCCTCCACATCCAGAGGAGCCCGTTGAGTTGGGTCAAGCAGCTGGTAAGGATAGACGCCTCTCAAGGGAAGTTTTCCAGGAATGTTCAACTGGGAGGAGACCCGATGGAGGACATGGTGGAGACACTTTTTCTCTGGGCTGGCCAGGGAACGCCTTGGAATCCTCCCAGAAGGGCTGGAAAAGTTGGCTGTGGAAAGAGATGTCTGGGCCTAGCTGCTCAAACTGCTGCCCCTGAGGTCTGAATCCAGAACAAGTGGCAGGTAATGAATGAATGGACCTGAACAAGTAACATGACATTTTTGGACAAAGATAAATGTGTCATATACAATACAATGGTTTTTGTTCTGATACAAACCTTGAGGCCATCAAGTGTTTATCCAAGCCTACATGGAAGCATTCAGAAATACATGATCACATGACAGCAGTGAATGTGGAAAGAAGTGGGGAAAATGAAGAGATCCAGCCTTCCCAGCTGAGCGTTAAGATGACTCGGCCTGGCAACAGTTGTCCCTTATTAGGTTGCATTCCTTCTGCGTATCATCACCGGCTCTTCTGGTAACACTTTCTTTATTCTGCATATATTCAGGAACCTACTCAAGACTAACAGGATTATATGAGGAGTTTGACTCAAGAGTGGCAACATCGCCTGAAGAAGAATAAAGAAATCGAGAAGGTGGGTAACTCTTAAAGGCCAAAACAAATGAAGTCATGGCAGGAAATCTTTATTATTACATTTCAAAATAGTATTTAATTAACGAGGCAGTTTGGAGGGTGATGCCCACTTCCTGTCATCCTCCCATGGGACAGCTGGGATCCTGCTACGCTCCAGCAGCTGGACATGCTTGCACTCGCGTCCAGCAGCACATTAGCATCTCTTTGACTGCGTCCAGCCCTGATTGCAGCTCCGCACAACGTCATCCAGCCTTTAGGCTCTGGGACCAGGGGGGGATTGCCTTTTTAGGAGACACCTGATCACAGCTCCACTCATCGCCACCACCCAACAGAAGAGGCTGATAATGCAGCGCTTTCATGTTGGAGCTTTTGCCAACCGAGACTTGAGCGTTTCAAAGTTGAAACACTAGAAGAGAGCTTTGAGGGTGGGAAAGCTGGTGGAGCTCTAAGGGAGCAGAGGCAGATTTGAACTCTGAGATGCTTTGGAATAAATAAACCAACAAGGAGGTTTGCACCAAGAGCAACCAAAGTCCAAGTTCTCCACTCAGGAGTATTTTTTTGTTTCTGTTTTGGTGAGCCAATGTGAAAGAACCTGCAGCTGAATCATGGAGAAATTCAAAGCAGCCATGGTCCTGGGCGCTGCTGGTGACGCTTTGGGCTACAGAAAGGGTCGGTGGGAAGGCTGCACATCAGGCAAGAAGATCCAGGAGGAGCTGGCTTCTCTGGGGGGATTGGGGGCCCTGAAACTGGACCCCGATAACTGGCCCCTGAGCGACGCAGCACTGATGCACATGACCACAGCCGAAGCCCTTATTACAGGTAGATTTGATGTTAAAAAATAAAATAAAGTCATTGTTTGAAGATAGTTTAAAAAATGGACATGACAGTTACATTAAATACTAATTTATAGAAGATCAAACCATAATTATTTGCATTATTTTTCTGTAAATTTACATTTAATTTGAAATAAATCAAAAAAGTAGCATCACAGGTTTAAAAACACTGACAAGTTCAGATTAGGGAGTCTGTTTTATTAAAAAAAACCTCTGAATTTCTTCTCCTTCAAAGTTGATGGAAACTGACAGGTGAACGTCTAAAACTGCCAAAATGCCGTCATCAAAGAAAATCTTAATTCACTTTTTAAATGTCCTCATCCAAATGTCACCCTAAACCCCCGCCGGATGTTAACTGGCACTGAGGAGTCCAAAATAGCCCACTTTGGAAAAGCTGATCCTCTGAACAATGGCCTCTGTAATCTTCTCATGTAGTGTTCTGGCTGCAGATGCAGCTTATCGCCAACGACAGCGGTTCCAAGAAAAGATGGTGATGACATCTCTTGAGATTATGAAGCCCCATTTAGCTCCAATCCAGCGTGCCATTCCCTATACATCCACACGAGCCAGGCATGTAAAGCATGTTGTTTATGTTCTGGGTTCAAGATGTTTTTATTGTTCCACAGAGGCTATCTGAGGTACAGCAGCAGACATAAACACATTTTACACATCTCATTCCTGAGGCCCACAGCTGCTGGAATAAAAGATTTCTTGAGTATTTGAAGGAAACATAACAAACCTTGAGGAATGGTTGGCGTCAAAGAAAGTAGATGTGGCGTGACCTTCTGTATCTTCAGTTTGTCTAGATCTTTCCCAGCGTAGACTAATAATCACTGAACTTTCAGATTGTAAACTTATTCTTCTCAGAAGCCATTAAAATATTAAAAAGTGCCATCTGACACTTTACGTGCTAAACTTTTAAAGATACTAATTACAAGTTATGAAATCAAACACAAAAAGTTTATTCTGGGCTATGGTGCAGTTTGAAAGAGTTTACTCTGGTAGTTTTCTAGTTATTTTGATATGCAATTCTGAAATGCGGGTATGCACTTAACATAAACAAAGATTTTTTTTTTAAATCTACACCTCCCTAACTATTCTGAGTGTAAATACAGTACATTAGAATTGTTAACCTTCCATGGACGTCACCAATGTTGACCTATCTACAGTCACTGCGGCCGTTTTCTTAGATAAGCAAACACAAGTTTTTAATTAAAGGACACATTAACCATGAAATTAAAAAAATGCTTGAAACTGATTTATTTAGTAATGTTTTTAGGCTGATCTTCATACAGTAACTTTGCAATGAATGCTGCAAGTTTTTCCTTTCCACCGTTGCCCTCATGCTTGATCAAGATGAGAGTTTGCGATGGAGTTAAACTCAAAGCGGTCTGCTCCACAGATATATAGTGTTAAATTATTATTTTTATATATTAATGTTTCTGCTAACTTATTATTTTTATATATGAATGTTCCTGTTCAGTGCCCTGAGATGACTTCTGTTGTGACTTGGCACTATCTAAATAAATTTAACTGAACTGAATTTAATTGAAAATCTCATATAATCCGTTAGCCCTCAGAGTACGTGTTAGGGATCAGTCTCAGCCACCACCAAGTTTTCGCCCAAAATCAGTTAAACTGTCCAAGTTACGAACATTTTGTGTTGGATAAGGTTGATTAGCTGTTCACTCGTTAATGAGGTACTTTGCTAAACGACAGAGACACCGGCAATTACGTGATCACATGTAATTCGTGTACGGCATTTTTTGGCGGACATATTTAAAAAGTTACTTTAAAATTCGAGCTAATACTTCCTGAATATCTATTTAGACAAACCTGAAATACTTTCAAAGTCTCGTTGTTAGTAAAGATAGATAATCCCAAACTGCTCAAAACATAAGGTTTATAAGTAACTAGGTAGATTGTAGAAGTGACTCATTCTGGACCTCAGGTATTCTGGCTCTAATCTGAGGTGTGGTAGTGAGGCTAAATTTAGCACCACTTATCTCACTCTGCATGCCAGTCCTGCTTAGTGTGTGTGTGTTTTGTTACCTTTGTAGGCCATTTTCCTGTACCTTGTCAGGACCGGTAGTCCATGTGGAGACGAAAGTCTGATCCAATGCAGTGGAAGGTCATTTATGGGTTAGGTTTAACCGAATGTCCTAATAAGATAGAAATGCAAACTTGTGTGTTTGTGTGTCCAGATTACTGGTGTCTGGAGGACCTGTACAGGGAGTTGGTGCGTCTCTATGTTGAAGCCATGGTGTCCCTCCAGGGTCGAGCCCCTGATCCGGCCACAGTGGAAACTTGTGTTCACCTCAAACCTCACAACTTCCTGCTCGCTTGGCACACGCCTTTTAATGAAAAGGGTAACCGAAAATATATGCTTTTTGTGAAATATAAACCTTAAAAAGTCTGCTGAAATTTGATGAAGAGGCTAAAACTGGGTTAAAGCATAGCCAAAAACTAAAACAGTAGCTGAAAGTAGCAAAAAGCTAGTTAAAAGATAAAAGTAGCAAAATGTTGACTCAAAGCTAAGGTAACAAAACTCTAGTTAAAATCAATAATAGGTTAGTTAAAAGCTAAAAGTATCAAAAGGTTAGCTTAAAGTAGCAAAAGCCTATCTGAAAGCTAAAATTAGCAAAATGGTAGCTAGAAGCTCAAACAGCAAATCAATAGCAATAGCTATAACAATAGCTAAAACCAACCATGTGTTAGCTAAAACCTATAAATAGTAAAAAGTCAGCTAGAAATAGCATACCACTAGTTGGAAGCTAAAAGTAGTAAGATATAAGTTAAAAGGTCAAAGTAGCAAAAACTTGATAAAAGTAGCAAACCACTAGCTAAAAGCAAAAACCACTAGCTAAAAGTAACAAAATGTTAGCTAAAAAGGTAAAAGACTAATTAAAAACTACAAGCAGTAAACAGTAGCCAAAAGGTAAAAATAACAAAACGTTAGCTAACAATAACAAAAGGCAGGCTAAAAGTAATAAAACAATCTGGAAATAGTAAATAATAGCTAAAAAAAAAGTAGCAGACGATAGCTATAAGCTAATGTCGCAGAATAGTAGGTAAAAGCTAAAAGTAACAAAAAAACTAGCTAAAGTTAAAAGTTGCAGACTGGTGGCTAAAAGCTAATAGCAGAATGGTAGCTAAAAACAAACAAAAAAAATTATCATAAGAAGACAAAATTAGATCCAGTAGATCGGAAACAGGACCCTATGGAGCTGCGACCCGTTCAGGAAGTAGAACAATGTTTTTGAAGGAACTGAAGGGATTTTTATGTTTCTCCATGAGCAAAAATCAGCAAAAGTGAAATGTTTGGACAAATATAAACGCTACAAAAAACAAAAGTCACTGCACCCATCTATTAAATGAGCTAAACATTTTGGTATGTGAATGGTTTTAACTGCTAAAAGTGTGTATTTGTTCCCAGGGTCGGGGTTCGGAGCAGCAGCTAAAGCCATGTGCATCGGGATGAGATACTGGCAGCCTGAGAGAACAGAGAGCCTGGTTGAGGTCAGCATCGAGACCGGCAGGATGACCCACAACCACCCAACAGGTATGACTTGCACTCTGCGTTAAAAGGTCACGAAGTTAACACTTTTTTTGAAGTTACTTGTGTTGTTACTTGGCTTCAGGCTTCCTTGGCTCCCTGACAACAGCCCTGTTTGCGTCCTATGCGATCCAGGGGAAGCCTGTTGTGACATGGGGCCGTGAGCTCATGAAGGTCATCCCTCGTGCTGAGGAGTACTGCAGGAAGACCATACGGCACATGGCAGGTGGTGCTAATGTTCAGAAGACACATCAGTTTAAATCTTGTATCTCTAAACCACAACAATAACAAAAAGAGTGTCCACTTTATGACTGATGCAGAAAGCTAAGTTTAGGTTTGGTGTGCAGATGTTGACTCGGCAAATACAGAAAATGTTTGTTCGTTCTTGTGCAGAGTATCAAGAAAACTGGTTTTACTTTGAGGCCAAGTGGCAGTTTTTCCTCGAAGAGCGAGAGATTGAAAAGGAGGGACAGAACCGGCCCTCATTTCCTGATCGCTATGATGCGGAGGAAACGGATAAAGTAAGATGGACTTTTAGCTATTCTTTCTAATCATTCATTGTTAGTAATAACAGATGTTATTATTCCCCTCCGAACAGATGTACAAGCGTTGGAGCTCAGAGGGTCGTGCAGGCCGGAGAGGGCACGACGCTCCCATGATAGCATATGACGCCTTACTGGCTGCAGGAAGCGACTGGGCTGAGCTGTGCAACCGGGCTATGTTTCATGGAGGTGAGAACCTCACGTTACCGGACCTGTAAGGTGTTTTTAAGTACACGCTACTATGCTGTAAAACAAAGGATTTTGAACAGTGTTAAGGGTAACCGCAAACTGCGAATTCAAACATTGCAGAAGGTTAGTCTGAACCATGCCAAATGATGAAGTTTGATATCGTTTACTCAGGTAGTTTTCAAGATATGTCGTTATGGAGTTCTTAAATGCAGGTATGCGCTCAACGTAAACAAAGCTCTTTTATCTTTTCTCAACAAATTTGACATCATGCATAAAATGACCAAGCTTCACAAGATTTACATATTACATTATTATTTTGCGTTTAGGTAATTTTAATTAAAAAAAATATAGGTTATAATCCACCCAAAAAATCAACTCAAATTTTATTGGTTAAAACTCAACAGTTTGTTTTTACAGTGTATGTTGCTCTTTCAGGCGAGGGAGAAGCCACCGGCCTGATCGCAGGTTGTCTCTTCGGCCTCATGCACGGCCTGAGCTCGGTCCCCCAGAACCTGTACCAGGATCTGGACAAGAGAGGTCGGCTGGAGGAGCTGGGAGAAGCCCTGTACAAGGCTGCGTCTGCAGAGAAATGCACAGACAAGTAATCCTGATCTCCACTGACCTGAACTCTGCAGGCTGTCAGAGGAACTGAATCTGATGCTAACACCACTCCCCTCCTCGCCCCTCGAAGCGTCCTGTCCTCTGCTCACTTCTTTCGCTTTGCTGTCCTTGATTTATTTTTTCTGTCCACTATCCACAGATATGTCACAAATTTTAAAAAGTAAAGACATCCGCCACTCCAGATGAGCTCGTATCTCTTGTCATACAGCTATAATCAGAACTTGTAGTCTTGTGTTTTTGTATAGCTTGACTTTTTGCCACAAATCCTAATTTTTATCAGTTTTGACTCCTTTTTAAATTTTTTGGTAACTTGAAAAGTTGCATTAATAAATATTTTAATTCCTCTTCCTGATGTTCACTTTTTCTTGAGCTAACTTTTGTTAACTTTGACCGCTAAGAGAATCTAATTAATTATAATCTGTATTTTTGTTTTTAAGCAAAACCTGAACGATTTCCGTCCTTTGAAAAGGTTTTCACACTCTGTTAACTTTCCCACATTTTGTTCCATCACAACCCAAATATTTTACCATGATTTTGCGAGATAGACAAATACAAAGTTACATATGAAGTTCTTCTTTGTAACGTAGTTCAGGTTCAGTCAGACTGGGTGGAGAGTGTCTGTGAACAGTTCAGGTCTTGCCCCAGACTCTCAGTTGGATTCAGGTCTGGACTTTGACTGGGTCGACTAACCCATGGGTGGATGTTTCGGGTCTTTGTCTTGCTGGAAGGTAGACCCCTGCCCCAGTCTGGAGTCTTCAGCCTCTATCAGGTTTTCTGTCCTGCATTTAGCTTCATCCATCTTCCCATCAGTTCTGACCAGCTCTCCCCACAGCAGGAAGCTGCCACTACCGTGTTTCACAGTGCTGGTGGTGTGTTCAGGGTCATGTGCAGTATTTTAGTGTTAATTTTTGATCGGATCTGAGCAGAGCGCCTACTTTCATGTTTGCTGTGTCCCCACATTTCCTGTGTCTTTCTTTCAGCTCGGTTTTTTCTTGCCACTTCTCCATAAAAGCCAGATTTGTGGAGTTCCCTTGGACAGTCTCCCACCTGAGCTGTTGATCTCTGCAGCACCTCCAGTATTACCACAGGGCTGCTTCTCAGATCAATGCTCTCCTTGCCCTGTCTGTCACTTTAGGTGGAGGGTCATGTCTTGGTTGGTTTGCAGTTACTCTATCCATTGATGATGTTCAGAGATGAACAAAGCTTTATGAGATGTTCAAAGGTTGGATTATTGTTTTATAACCTAACCCTGCTTTAAAATTCTCTACAACTTTGACCTTAAATATATATATATAAAAAAAAAACTTAAAAATGCAAATTTACTTGTTTTCTTGTTGGTTGAAGATATTTCATTGTTCATCCAAAGAGCTTTCTGAGTTCAGACTGAAATGTGCTGGGTTCCCTGGCCCTGTGATACATTCACATGCAGATGAATCCACTCCCTGCCCTCCCGAGGGTCATTAGTGGTTTGTCTGGTCTTCTTGAGAAGAGTTTTTGTCACATATATTGTGGTATGAATTGACACAAAACTGGCAGGGAATCAAATCCAGAGTAGCTTTGTCTCCATCTTCTACTGCTTGTCTGTAGTCAGATCGCAGAAGAAACAGGCTCAAGACGAGAACCCCACACCGTCTTCCTAGCGACACTCTCCAGCGCCTCCTGAGGGATCCCAAGGTGTTCCCAGGCCAGAGAGAAAAAAATTATCCCTCCACTGAGTTCTGGGTCTGCCCTGAGGTCTCTTTCCAGTGGGATGTGCCCAAAAAACCTCCAAAGGGAGACGTCCAGGAGACATCCTAATCAGATATCTGACCAAACCACCTCAGCTGACTCCTATCAATGCAGAGGAGCAACAGGTACTTAGAGCCACCCTACAGAAAAGGCTTGTTTCAGCAGCTTGTATCCAGGATTTTGTTCTTTCAGTCCTGATCTGAACCTTATGACCGCAGGTGTTGGAGTGACAGACCAATAAACTGAGAGCTTTGCCTTTCGACTCAACTCTTTCTTCACCATGACTGACCAAAGCAACGTCCTACTTACTGAGGATGAGGCCTCATCCCTCTCACAGGCCATCCTATCACTCATGAACAAAAAGCCCAGATACTTGAACTCCTCCACCTGAGGCGGAGGCGTCTTTGCAAGTTCTGGAAAGCTGAAACCTGAGGTCTTCCCTTGTTTAGCCCTCCTGCTGTCCTTGGGTCAAAATGATCCACAAGGTTTTAATGTTAAGACTGAGGTCTTGTACTTTATTTTGACTAAAAGACAGCAGGAGGGTTAAAGATGTTTATTTTATTTATTTATTTATTTTTAGCAAAGAGCTTCTTTCACCGCTTTTATATTTTTATTTTAACTTTTAGGATTTGCAATGTTCTGGACGAGTGAGAATCAACAGAAACATTGTTCCTTGGTCTTCATGATGACTGATCTCTAATGTTCTGTTAACTTCACAGGCCTTCACAGAACAGCTGGGTTTATACTGAGATTAAATTACACACAAGCGGACTATATTTGGTGACTTTGACAGCAGTGAATTTTAATTCAGGGCATTAAAAAAACATAGTTTTTATATTTATATTTGTTAAAATATATATAAACCATGAAACATCTTCCTTTCACTTTGTGTTACATAAAATCCCAGTAGACTATGGTGACTTTTGTTGTAACATGACAAAATGTGGAAAAGGTTTAGCAGTTTTCTTTTATCTAAACTAAAATCAGAAGCAGATACCCAAATCATTTCAACTTATCTCTCGATAACAAACATTTTGTTCACAAACAAAATGTGAAATAGTTTCAAGTTGCAGAACAAGTTGTTTTTATGTGATTAAGCTACAGTCTGAATCTAAAAACTGATAATTAAAATGGACCGATGATGCATCGAGTGCCTATTCTCCCGTTTTCCCTTAACTTTGTTTACTTTTAGAAATGCTTTTTATAATTTTCTTTATCTTTTTATTCCTTTTTCCCTGAACTAATTACCCGTAACATTTGATTCACTTCAAAACTGAATATCTAAGACCCTCGCTTTTTTCTGCAGGCATAAAACGACTAATGGAATATTCAGTTCAAATACTACTTTTAATATAATCTGACAGATTAACAAAGTAGAAAACTATTGTGAAGTTATGTAAAAAAGAATTGTTTTGGGCGTTTAATGAAGTAAAAAACTGCTCAGTAAAAAATGTTGATTTCATTTTGCTACAAATATTAATGTTTATTTTAATCATCAGTTTTAATAAACTAATAAAGCTGCAGGGATTAAGTTGTACATATCCTTTATTCTCTGTAGACCAGATTCACTGAAAACCAGGATCGGCCCTGACGCCTGTAAAGTGATGAAGCTAATTAGAGACCCAAAATGCAGACCGGCACTTCGGGGGATTCTGGAGAGCCTTCTACGTTACCTAACAGAGGACCTGGCCAAGAGGACTCCCAGAACCGAGAGTCCTGATCTACAGAGTGAGACTTTTGTGAACCGGACAAAAACTTCTGAGATAAGTTCCAACAATTTTAACAAATTTCATTTGGATACACGAGAAAACCGACTACCAACGAGGAGCGGAGGAGATCTAGGACCTAAGGACCAAATATGTCGGCGGCTCACCTCATTCCAGCTGCTTCAGTCCAAGTTCTTAAAGTCCTCGCCCAAACCCTACATCTCACATCAGAGGGAGGTGGGAACTCTGTCCTCTGGCAGAGGATCGCCTCGTCAAGATAAAGACACCAAACGAGACACGAGGGACCAAACAAAAAGAGCGCAAGGACCAAAAAGACGGGGCAGCGTGAAGGAGATGGTGGCCAAGTTTGCCATGGCTGAGCAGAAAGAACAAGGACTGAAAACCCAGAAGAAAGAACCGATACAATTTGGAAGAGGGATCCTCTTGAGCTCCTTAGTGGAGACGTTTGAGAACGTAGCAATTGTTCGCAAGAAAGGCGACTTGAAGTTTTCACACGAGAAGCTTTCTGGAGGAGTCAGAGTTCCTTCTACAGTCAAAGAGAAGGTGGATCGTCTTGAGAGAGAGAAAGAACGGCCGTCAGATCAAACTGCCAAACAAAACCCTCTGAAGCAAACAAAACGAGGCCAAGAACCAGGACCGGGTGGTGCAGTAAATATTTCAACCAAAGCAAACTCGTGCACAGAAGGTGAGAAAGATTTTAAATCGGAGCAAACGCATCCTACAAAAAAGGTGCTTTGCAGTCGGTTAAAACTAAACAAAAATCAAACTTACGATGAAAACGTTAAAGATGGACGGTCGGCGCCGTTCATTAAGCTCCAAACCACGTCTAATGAAGCTGATGTTACTGCAAGAACAGTCAAATTTGGACATCAGGAGTTTCTTTCTTCAACCTCTGCATGCGAGTGGTCACCACCACAACCTGGCAGAGCTCTTCTGCAAGAAGAGCTCCCGCTGACCTGGCATGTCGCCACCGCCGTGACCTGCTCACCGGTCCGGTCCACGTGTGTCCACTCCTCTCCTGCGCAAAACCTACGGGAGGCCTTTGAATGTACAAACCTGGACAAGAAAACAAGGAAAACCACAAACCATTCATGTGATGGCCTGGAATCATCTCCCAGAGGATCGGCTGCAGATGAATCCTTAGTAAAACTACCTGAAACTGATGTGAAGCCAAGGATTGAAGCTGTAGCAAATGGAGACCTAAAGCTCCCACTGACCGGTCAAAAAGGGTGTGTCGACCCATTTAATGGTGCGAACCATATTAAGCTTTCCTCTCAAACAGACCCAACTCCTCGCACTAAAAACCTGCAGTTTCAGTGTAATGTGACGGATCTTGGCACAACTTTAGAAAGTTTTCAAGACGTTGGCTCAAACTGTTCTTGTTGTATTAGCAAACCTGGATTAACTAAAGAGAAATCATTAGAAGAAAATGTCTTGGAGGCCTTAGAAAAAGGAAAAGGAGAGTGGAGATGTTTGGAAAACAGGGATTTTGGAACACCACAAAGATTTGGTCTTTCTGTAGACACCACCGACGATTATGCATTTAAAGACCGCGAGCTATCATTAACGCCGTTTCAACCCAAAAGAGACGACAAACAGAAACCAAAGTATAAAACAATCAATTATGAAGATCCTTCAGTCAAAGAAACATATAAACCCAAAATTATACGGTTCACTGATACCTTTGATTTCTAGGCTGGCGCAGGAAGTCACAGTTTTTACCGTTTTTCAAGAAAGCGTAATAAATTATGGTTATTTTTTGTTAGTAAACTTCCATTTAAAAACTCTGAATGTATTTTGTATTCAGTTCCACAAAAGGATGAACATAGCAATAAAAGAGTTCACAACTTACATAAATATATAGTAAAATCAATAAACAGCATCAGTTTGAAGATTTAGACTTAATAATTTATTACATTTCATTGTTTTGTTTTTTTAACTGGTTACAGTTTCATTTAGTATTTTTGTAATCTCTGTTTGAAGTACTCAACTTTTAGCAGCGTTTAAATAAAAATGGCTATTAATCAGAAAATAAATATATGCTGTACATAAACCCTTAATTGCTTTATGACCAATTTAAGATTATTTGTATGTTCTGCTTGTTTAAAAGTTTAACCGATTATCTTTATGGTTCTTTAGTTCGTGCCTATTTTTGTGCTCGGCTACAGAATAACGTCCAACAAACTCCTGCAGAGAGAGAGCGAGCTCAACTGGGCTTAAAATGGGACAAAGTGAGTTTTGTTCAGAGCGGATGAATGGTCAAACAGCCGAGCCAAATATGTCAGTAGTTGGAGGTCCATTCATGTCCCTGATCCAATAAAGTTTGCACAAAAAGGGGATTTATTTTAACAAAAGAAAAAGAAAAGGAGGCCTACATATGTCTATGACTGTCTAATGTAAATTAAGACATATCAAAACTATTGTTTGTATATTGTTGTTTTAGCTGTTTCACAAATAAAATAATGTTTCTTTGCCATTCCTCTGAAACAAGGAACATATGTAGTTTTACTAGTAATTGCCACTAACTCTGCAGTAATTCTACCAGAAATTAAAATAAGTATTTTGATGGCAGCAATATGTCTCAGTGCTCTAGATTCACTCAAAACATGATTAAATAATATTGAGTTTGTGGGATTTTATTTTATCTAGTAAAGTTACCCAATCCCTAATTTGATTAAAAAAATTATATAATTACAAACTATCTTGAAAACATGACTAATAATTATGTGATACTGTCAGACAAAGCTGATGTCAATTAATGTATTTTGCTTTTTTGTTTTTAACTATTTCTATTTATTGATTAAAAAATAACTTGAAAGAACCTTATGGGTTCAACTTTATCATCACATCTTCCAATACAATATAAAACTCTTTTCAGCTTAACTCATCCATGTAGCTCGTTTTGTGAGTTTTTAAAATTACTGTATATAACACTTCATATATTTCAGAAGGCTTTTTGCACCAGCATTTCACTGATTTCGGTTTCGCAGGTGCATTTGGCTTTATTTACCTGTATTTACCTGTGCTACGTGGCTGAGTGGCATAGGGAGCAATAGGGTGCTTTGCTGCATTCAAGTGTTGTTGGGCATATTAGTATACGTTGTTTTGATGTGTTTAAAGACACATACGTCTTTGTGGTATGAACGATTCATCGAGGCAGGGGTTGCAGTGTGTAAATGAATGTAACAATTCTCAAATATGTTAATAAAATACACTAACATAAAATAAAAAAGCATTTTTTCCCCTCTCTTTCTAAAGCTTCGTGAACGCTCCACAGGTCACTTTTAGGGAAAAGTCGGAAGCTACGGGAATCACGTGAACGCAACATTCGGTCTATTTGCAGCGGGACAAACGCCGCAAAGCCTCCGTGGAGTTTCACCGGACAAGAGGGGTTAAAAAGTAACCGACAAACCACCGAGGGGACCGTTTGTTCCGTTCGGTGTTTGGACTTTTACTCTCCTACAGCGTCGTGAAGCCGTGGACCAGCAGGTGCATGATGGCGCTTATTTAAAGTCCAAGAAAACTCCATATTGCTGATTCGTTTAAATAATTAAGGAGTAGATTTAAAACTACCCACGAACGCGTGAGACGTTTTAAAGCTCCCCATTCCCGCAGCTTTCTTCTCTTCGAGAGCAGCGAGTTAATCCCAGAGGAAACAGCGAGCTGGGTTTTTTTTTTTCCTCGCGCACCGACATGGAGAGAAAAAAACCCAGGAGAATTTAGCGCCACTTAAAAGTTTGGTGATTTTCTTTTACTTTTGGGAGAAAAGAAGCTCGTCTGATGCTGTGAATTTAGTTAAGTTTTTTTCAGGAGCAGTATGGAGAAGATAAAGTCGACCAACGGCACCGGGTGCTTCCCCCCCGGCACAAAAGCCAAAGACAGAGTGGGCAGGTGGGTAAAACTATTCGGCCCCGACCGAGTTGAAGTATTTTAAATAAGGACAGGAGCTCGTGGTTGTCGAGTTAATAATTTGTAGAAAAAAAAAACCTCAACGTGGAAATCGGAAGCAAAAACAAACTAATTTCTAGCCATTAATCTTTTAGCTACAACAAGCTAGCTGGTGGTACAACTATCATCGCGTGCAGTTTGTGTACGATATACTCAAGCGCACGCGTAAACTCAAGCACCCGTACCCCGATACATTCATAGCTACTTCCGGTATCTGAGGCATATTACCAGCTGTTGATTAAAGTAAACCCAAGGATAAAACATCAAACTTATTAATAATTTCTAATAATTTCTGTTTTTTTTTTTTTTTTGTTCAGATTGTTAGGTCCTAGTAACTGATGTTAACAAATATACACAACAAATATTAATAATGTCAAAGAACCGGAAGTAGGCATGAATATATCTAGACCACAATGTTGCAAAATACTGACTTCAAGCATGTGCATCAGTATCTGTTAAAATGTCAATTGGTAAAGTACACATGGGCAACATAAGGTCTGGGGGCCGGAAGGAGCTCTTGATCCATTTGAATCTGGTCCCTGAATTCCTGGTAACCAGGGCTGGAGTGGGACTCATTTCAGCCCTGGAGTTTCATGCCTGTATTTCAAAAGCCGATACACGGAAGTAGGAACGCACAGAAGGACGAGCCTCTGCGCATTTCTTAGAAATTTAATAAGATAAACACCTAAAAAAACAATTTGTTTGCTCAAAATTATAGTAAAGGTGTGTCTCAGTTGAACTTTTACTTAATAAATGCACTTTGACGGTCAAATCAGCTGCATTTTGCCAGGGCAGCGCAGCGAAATGAAGCCGATTCGGTTGCTCCAGGCAGACGATGGTGGCAGGCTGTGGCAAGCCGATTGTGTCATTAATAGACACTTTTACCCATTACACAATACGACGGCATGCCATACTACTGGAGTGCCATCTAGCGGCTGAAAATGGTATTGTTCAATTTTTTCTTCAGTCAGAATGAATGAAAACGGTCATATCTTAGCCAAAAATTGGTTTATAAATATGGGGAAAAAGCATAAAGACATCGCTTTGGTGTATAAGTTGCAGGGCCTGCAAATTATGCAAAAAAACTAATACTTATAGGATGAAAAATATGGTAATTACATGTTCCTTGCTGACAACGTTAACCCATTTTTTCTGATGGTTTTTGCCGGTGCTGCAGGTAAGGGGTGTTTACCTTTGGGACAAATGAGGTCGCCGATTGGTCAGTTGCTGACATGCCTGCTAGACTGATTGACAGGTGGCTGTTGAAAATCTAACTAGTGCAAAAAAATCCAGAGCTGCAGCCGGCCCTGGGTGGAGGCGGGGCAGCCCTGGTCCAGTGGTAGCGGTGCTCTGTGTTTGTATGTTGTTAATAAAAAGTTCTAAAAAATAAAATAAAACTCAGGGAGCACCAGCCTTGCAGCCCCGCATCAGACCAGCCCAACGGGAAATCTCCTGATCCTCCCGATTAGCGATTCCGGGCCTGCTCGCAACAACTTTAAATACATAAACTTCAGGGACTTCCCGCACTGATGTCGTTTTATGGATTATATAGGCCTGAAACTGAACTAAACTATATGAACATCCAGTTTAGCCATTAGCCTAGCCTGGATGACATCTCATGGCATTTTTATTCATACTCCATATGGCAGATTTCCTGGATAATGTACCAACTATTGGTAACTATTAGATTGACGATCCATTCATTTTCTTTAACCATCTCTTTCTGGGTCATGGAGCAGCTGGTACCCATCTTAAGCAGTCACTGTGCGAGAGGCAGGGTACAAACACATACAGTAAGCCACATTCACAAAACAGTTCCGTAAAATGGCTGCACCAAATAACCCATTCTTTAAACCCTTTCTAGCCATTCATAAGTCACTGGTGAAGCCGCCCACAAGTGAGCTTTCGGAGTACTTTTAGCAGCGCAGAATCAAAAGAGACGTGGGAAAAAAACCTCAGCTGCTCTTATCTGTTGCTCTACTTTTTATAAGTGGGACTGATGTCTTTGTCGTAATATTTCTGAAAACATGGCAAAGTGTGCGGGTGAAATTTCTGTTCACCTCTTCTGCACGTAGAGCCAAAAGCTCGCAGGTCTCGGAATCACCCCAGTTTGCCATTGTTCAAAGTAATTGAGAAAAATATACGGGGTTACAAAGAACAAGCTTGTTTGCGCAGCAGAGAGGCTAAAAACAACCACACTGAGAGTTCTGCTCAAATAAATGAGTTTACGATGTTCTGACATTTTTAATCCTGTGGATGGGTGGTCGCCAAAAACGTACACCCAGAAAAGGTGACGGCTCTAACCACTGCTTGATCGTGCTACCTTGACAGAACAGCTTTTTTGTTTTGTTTATTTCCAACCATATTTTGCATGTTTCATCTGTGGGAGGAAATGGGAGTAACCATAGAAAACACACATTTGCAGAAGAAAATGTGCAAACTCCACACAAAAAAGGTCACAGCCAAGTTTTGATCCATCAGCCTTCTTGCTGTGAGGCGACAGCTCTTGAGCGGTTGAGGAAATTTATAAACTCTACTGTGAAAACAAATTGCGTTTGTTTGTTTTTTTCATTTGAGGAAGGGGCAATGTTTTTGATGAATGCTCAGAAGTTTTATTTTTTCATTATTGTTTAAGCCTCACATTCACAAAGAATTTGTGTTTTTAGGAACCCCAAAACGGCACAAAAAAATAAATTCCAGAGTAAAAAAAATCATAATTTTGAAACACCACCCATATGTTTTCATGTAGATAGCCAAAACGCAACATTTTAAAAACAGTGATTACATACTTCTAATCTAACCTATGACTTGATGGCTTCCTTGGTTACTGCTTGTGTTTATATTTTGTGCAAGCTTTTCATATTTTAGGTTCATATTTTATGCCTCGGCTAGTGTTGTGGTTTGTTGTGTTACAGCACCACATACAGGCCAAGCATGGCTACTGCAGCATTTTGGGACGTTTTCCTAGTTGCGCTGTGCATGAAAACTTTTCTAATTTCTGTGTGGACAAGATCTAGTTGCAGGAACCCTTCAACAATGTTTGCAAAGTGTTTTCAGCATGTGGGGCAAGTCGTTCACAGCACAGTAAAACTATTTTATGCCTAACTTAGTTTATTAAAATTTAACAAGACTACTAAACTGATAGTGTGTGGATGCATTAATTCCTTGGGAATGACTTTGCTGTTGTAGAAAGGTTAAGCTGCTAGAAGATTATCGTGTTACTAGGCATTAGGCTGAGCCACCTCCACCCACATGTTTTTAGACAGGTGTATGCTAAAAGGTTGTATTATAGTCAATATTTCTTCAATTCTTTAAGTTTTGTCTCCATCTCTTTTAAATATCCCAGTTCTCAAGTAAAAGCACAACACTTTGACAAATATGACAGATTTTTGTTTAGTTTGGTTTAGTTTCAGGTGTATAGTGGTACAAACTGAATATTTTGTAGTTAGTAGAACCATCTTTTAAGGAATAGTTTGTAACTAATGTTTGTTTGTTTTTTCTTTTACCAGACTGGATCCGTATGGCTTTGAGCGCTCAGAGGACTTTGATTACGAGTCGTACGAGGAGCTCATGTCTGAGTATCTGGTCGTGCTCACCCGCCGATCCATCAAGTGGTCCAAACTGCTGAAGGGTAAAAGCAAGGTGCAGAAGAACATAAAACGTGAGTGTGAAAACCGAATCCCACTGAAAATCCTCTGAAGTGCATGCCTGAAAAACTAAACTTTGACTTTGATTCAGTAAAGCGTTACGTACGGAAGGGGGTTCCCAATGAGCACCGGGCTTTGATCTGGATGGCAGCCAGCGGGGCTCAGGATCAGTTGGAGAAGAACCCAGGATACTACCAGTCTCTGCTGGAAGCCCAGCACGACTCTAAACTTATGGAGACCATCAAAACAGGTTTGCTATTTTTTCTCTTTCACTGTGAAAAGTTCGGACAAACTCCAAACCCACCACAGAACCGGAAGTTGCCAAAAGTTGTTGACTCTGGGAAAAGTCAAGACTTTAAACACAAGAAATAGGCAAAAGTGCACTAAATCAGTAAAATAAAATCCATGATTTGCTCAACACCATCTTACAGAGGGAGAAATAACAGCTTTGCACCATCCTCTTCATGTCTCTACAAGTTCTGGTCACCAGGAGTTCAGTAGTGAATCTTTTTTCTCCCTGTTTTCTTGCCCCACAGCTGCCAAAGCAGTTTCTTTCCACATGTTTTGGTCATTACAAGATAAACTGCCAACCCAGTCTCAGGTCATTCACACAGAAGCTCCTCTGGTTTTGGCTCCATTTACCTTCAATTTAAGACCGTCTGCCTGTCCCTGCTGCTCAGAAGCACCAACATAACACAGTTCAGCTACAACAACATGCTTTAAAGGCCCGTCATTGCTTGAAGGAATGCATATCACTCGCCACCTTTCCTGCCAGAGTTTTTACTGATCTCTGTGTTTGCTGATAAATAAAGTTTTAGCTGTTTTAGTCAAACCTTGAAAAATGCCCCATCTCATGTGAAATGGAAATATGCCACCCTCAAAGTATGTTGTGAATGACTCTCACCTACTACCTCATCAAATCATAGCTCAGAATCAGTGAAACTGACTGGAGTTGTAGCCATTTTTGTGTTGGCTGCGATGGCCATCACCTCACCCTGTCCTCGCTCCAACTTACCTCCATGTCCTCTTTAACCAGGGTGTCTGCGCATCAGTCTTAAATACACATATCTAATATTAAGGCCTTAAAATGTTTGAAATTCATTTAAAAAATGTGCAAGTTGGTCTTAAATATGTTACTCAAAGGTCCTGAAATTTGTCAGGGCAGCAGGGATTAAAGTTCTTCATCGCCGGGACAGATTTCTGTCATCTGTAAAAATGAAGAGGGAGAAAAAATGTGTTTAAAGCCGTCCAATCTAATCTAATGATGATACAGGGATTAAACTGATGCTGCTTTCAACAAATAAGAGCCAAACTCGGTTTGACCCAGTCGTGCCGTCTGGTTTATGTTGAGCTCAGGTTTGAGCAGCAGAGACAAACTGCAGGGGAAAGTTCACCTGCTGCAAGTCACGGAGGAACAGAACCACCCACCCCTTCATGAAGGTGATGACATGTAATAAATTATTAAACGTCTAAGTATTAAATGTATATTTTTGCACGTGACCAATTCACTGCAGCCGAGGACTTTTGTATCTAAAATCTAATTATGTATTAAACATTAATGTGGGGATTGTCGATGATGCTTTGGTAACCTTTAGATGGAAAAAAAAAAGTCAGTCATAATATATATTTTTTGTTTTAATCCCTGAATTTAATCTCACGTGTTTTTGTTTTTTTTCTCGCGGGACTTTTCTGTCAGGTAAAGTTCATATTGAGTCGCACACAGTCCTTGTGTTTTCTGTAATACTGTCTGGTTCAAATTGACTCGAATGAGGCTACTTTCTACTAGCTGCTGATACATACGCTTGCAACTGTTCTGTAACTAAATCGTGTTTTGGTGCAAACGTATGGACAGTTAGCTGGATGACATGTTTGAAGACAAAACTGGAGATTGACACAAATGAGCCTCATGCCATAAATGTACTCCGTAATGTCTTTTTCTGTTGGATGTTTCCAGCCAAATAACTGCACTTGCACACACAGCTGCTGAACCAGAGAGCACTGCACATCACTTTATATTCAATAAACTGACAAAAACTAAACTTGAACGAGTCACATTGAGTGACACACATGCTAGGTGGGGTAGAAGTAGGGTAGCTGACCTGGGACCAGAAAGTCCCAGGTTCAATCCCCAGCCATTCCCACATGTCGTGATGTCTCTGAGCAAGACACCTAATCCCTAATTGTTCCCCGGGTGCCTATGTAGCTGCCCACTGCTCCACCTGGGTGCAGCCCATGTGCTTAAATGCAGAGAACCAATTTCGCTTTTGTATGGGAACATACAATGATAACAACATATAGCACTTATACTTGCGTTACTTATTCTTGGTTGTCATACAGCAGGACCCCAACCACTGTCTATATTTATAGTTTTTTTTTTATCTTAAATTTCATTCCATGTGGCATTAAAAAGGTCTTAAGTCTTTAATTTGACTTGTTGAAACCTGCAGATACCCTGTAACTGCATGTACGTACAGTATATTTCCTCTTTGTCTTTTTCCTGGCAGCTGCATTTCTAACATCCTTCTACCAATAAATCCACTGTCCGTCCTCTGGACATGTCCAAACCATCTCAGTCTGGCCTCTCTAACTTTATCTCCCAGTTGTTCAACCTGTGCTGTACCTCTGATGATCTCATTCCTAATCTTATCCATCCTTGTCACTCCTGAGGAGAACCTCAACATCTTCAGCTCTGCCTCGTTCAGTTCTGTCTCCTGTCTTTTTGTCAGTGTCTTTGTCTCCAGGAGTTCATCAGTTGAAATCCGTCCGATGGTTCATGAGGTGCTTTGCCAGTGGCCAGAACTGACTGAAACTAGTTTGTGGCCAAATTTTCAGCTGGGTTCATGCATGCGTTAACATTCTGAATAGTTGATCAGTTCCACCTTCGACCACAACAAATTTTAGATCAGTACCTTTAAAACTGTTACGACCATATGTTAAGTTCAGTTGGTTGTACAGTACCAGGGTGAGCTTGAGCTCTCTCCAATAAAAAAAAAAAATTAATTTAACTTGGACTCTCAAAATCTCCTTAAAAACAAAACCAAAGTACAGACTCAGTTTGGTTCTAAATTAATGCATTTAGCTGTTAGAGCTGTTTCAGTTAGGTTTTTTTATGTTGCGCCACGTCATAATGATGGTCATCTCAGGGCTTTACACAAGCTCACGTCATAAATCTAATTGAACAACAGTCAATTTTATCCATTTGTAATTGGACAGGAACACAAACACGATAGAAATCAAGTTGCATGGTCTCTTCTTTCAGACCTGAACAGGACATTTCCAGACAACATCCAGTTCCGCAGGACATCCAGTCCATGTCTACAGAAAACCCTGAACAATGTGCTGCTGGCCTATGGCCACCACAATCCAGCTGTGGGCTACTGCCAGGTAACGCTTCCCCTAAACCCAACCTGGAGTTAATTTTCTTTGTGGATATCTTGCTTTATCTAGGGGTGGGGTTAAGTTTAAAAAAACAACCTCTTGTGATTAGTCTAGAGTTTTTTTTAGGGGGAGGGTTAATCATTGTGTTATTAGGATGGCAGTATATTATCAGAGAAAATTAAGGCAGTGTAACTCTTTATTAGCTTAACAGAAAAATACAATAAACATGTGAATCTGATGTTTAATTGTTCACGAGTTGGAGCAGTTTTATAATTAATAGATGTTAAATCGTCACTAAGTGTTTCTGGTTTGAAATAATTATTTAGAATGGTTTTTGAAGTAGTAAAAATTCACCAACGTTTCGGCGCGATGAAACGTGCTGCAGCAGGATTCAGGACTTGTGTGTAACGCAGGCGTGTCTGTTTGTCTTCAGGGGATGAACTTTGTTGCCGGGTTGTTACTCGTCATCACAAAAGATGAAGAGAAGTCCTTCTGGCTGATGGACGTGCTGTTCGGTCGTATTTTACCAGGTGTGTCCACGTTGTTGCTGTGTTTTAGTGACTGTTGTGTGTCTGAGCTCTGCCCTGGGATAAGAATAATCCCGTTAGTGTCACGTGGTCTTAAACCGTTTCTGTTTGATCAGTGAACTCGGATGTCATGTAAATTAGGATAAACTTGTTAGAAGTAGTGCTAGTACTAAAGTGGACACCAGCATAATTGAGCGTTTTCATTTTGAAGCACATTTCTTTGAGGCAGTTTGATAATTAGTGTTTTACAGAAGGTAATTTATCAAACTGGAGAAAATACATTTTACGTAAAAAATGCAGAGTGAGAGTTGAATGTCTGCAGAAGTTTACAGATGTTGAAGATGACTTGTCAAAGCTGAAAGAAGCGGAACGCAAGCTAAAAGCAGGGGAATGTGAGCTAAAAGGAGCAGCATGCTAGACAGGCTGAGAGTAGCAAAACAATAGCTAACAAAAAGCTAGCTAAAAGCTAAATGTTGCAAAAAGCTAACTAAAAGCTAAGAGTAGCAAAAGTCTAGCCAAAAGCTAATGGTAGATAAAAACGTAAATTAACTTAAGGAGACAAATAGAGCTAAGGTAGATTTTAAAGAAAATGGTGGTTTTGAATGTATCTATGGTGAAAATATTTGTAAATAAAGATAAATATTCTGAAAATAATCAAAATTACAAAAACCATAAGTCCCAGTCCTCATCCTGAGCTGAATGTTTTGATGTGTGAGCAGCTAAACGAGTGCTCTGAACGGTGCGTTTACAGACTACTACGCTCCAGACATGCTGGGACTGAAGACAGACCAGGAGGTTTTGGGGGAGCTGGTGAAGCTTAAAGTCCCCCGAGTGTGGCAGGTGATGGAGGAACAGGGCGTGATGTGGACTCTGGTGGTCTCTCGATGGTTCATCTGTCTCTACATCGACGTCCTGCCGGTCGAGGTGAGCACAGCTGCTTCAAAGAACCCAAACATCACTCGTGTTCTGTAGTTAATCCGTGGAGCTGACCGTGTCCTATCACTGTTCTTGATGCCGACTTCCTCTGTTGACTTTAGGAGGGTTTGGCTTTAATGTTTGTTTTCCAAACACACACGGAACGTATTTGTCAGTGAAAGTTCCTGCTGTTCTGCACTCCGAACACTGCAGCTGTCCAGCGACAACACGATCCAGACTGGTGTAGCTGAAGAAAAATAGGATACAAATGTCATAAATAAGAAGTGAAATTGAAGGGACTGAGCTGTTAAATGCAGGTTTAAATAGCCTGGTCGTGTTTTTAATGGCTGCATTTAAAAACCCGTTTTATTTTTGCAGACGGTTCTGAGGATTTGGGATTGCCTTTTCTACGAGGGCTCAAAAATCCTGTTCCGCGTAGCTCTGACTCTGATCCACCACAACCAGGCTGTGATCGAACAGGCCCGGTCCCTGCCGGACGTCTGCGAAGCCTTCAAACGGATCGCTCAGGGCCCGTTTGTTGAAGAGTGTCACACTTTTATGCAGGTAGGAGGAATAATAAACATCATTATGCTGGAGGATGCATGTTTTTTTTTTGTTTTTTTTTAAGTCTGGTTCTTGTAATCTGCTAATCCTGGCGTTTCTTCTCAGAAAATCTTCACTGAACCAGGAAGCCTGTCCATGGAGACGCTGACGAAGCTCCGAGCGACGTGTCGAGCTCGAATCGCCGCAGAAGGAACCTAAACTGGACTTCACGCCTAAAGTTAAAACACATTCCAGCTCGTTTGCACTTTAAAAAAAAATCGGAGTCACTGTGATTACTACATTCCGTAAACATTTTGTCTTAAAGCCAACACCGAGACAATCCCACAGCTCTGGGATTATATTGTGAGCTTAAGCTGTGATGATTCCACCTGAAATTTTCCAGGTAAACTGGACCCATGCACTTTAAACCAGGATGGCCGAAGAGTCGAGACTAACTGTCGGTTATCTGGTAGCACGAGTTAACTAGTGCTCAACAGAAGCACAACCACGAAGAAAAGATTTGATGTTATTGTCTCAATCATGAATATCAAAACTATTATTTTTGTAGTAAATGAAGATTAATGATGCTGATGCAGCTTTTTGTAGAAACTTATTGTAAAACAAGTATTTTATAGCTGAAATTTGTACTTTTGGAAACATTTCAGCATCTACACGTAGTTGTTGGCTGTGTTCAGGTTTAGCAGACTTTATGAAAGCTTGTGAAAACACTGGTGAAGAAATATAAGCACACCTGAAGGCTCCGGTTTGTTTTTAGTGACTGTATGTTGTGTTGTTTTTGATTTACAAAGGTTTCTGTACAGAAAACCATGTTTCCTACATGAATCATGACGGGGCTGGAGTTTGAACAGTTTTAACTTGCAGTGAGTTGCATAAGAGAAAATAAATTGACAGTTTTCTATTAAAAAAATACAATCAAATCAATAAAATTAACTTTTTTTTTTTTGTGAGGGAGATAAAAAGAGGCAACTTCACCACACAAGGTTTACAAAATAAAATCCACCCAGACTGCGTAATTTATTAAATTATACATTTCATGAAACTGCTCGGAGAAAATAAACTTTTTAATTTGACCGTGACACAAACACCGGACATGACTCCTGAAGACTGACAAAGCAACACCATTAACTTCCATTATCCAAAATTTAAGCCACAATGTTTTTGTTTTTTTTGGGGGGGTGGGGGGTGGGGTGCTGCCATGTAGATTTGTTTTAGAGCCAGATTCTGCAGACTGTACAGGTGCATCTCAAAAAATTAGAATATCGTGAAGAGTTCAAAATTTTTTTTGTCAGTCATTTTAGAAAGTCAAACTCCTACTTTATATAGATTCAGAGTGAATTATTTGAAGCCTTTATTTCTTTAATTTTGATGATTTTAACTTAAAAATAATTAAAACCCAAAATTCATCATCTCAGGAAAATTAAAATATTGTGAAGAGGTTCAATCCTGTAAACTCCTGGTGTCACACCCTGATCAGCTGATTAATTCCTACACGAGCTACAAATGTCTCTTTCCTCAAGTCAAACCACTCCTGAACCAGAGACATCAGAAGAGTCTTACCTGCTGAGGAGACAAAGAACTGGACTAGTGTCTCAGTGGTCCAATGTCCTCTTTTCAGATTAAAGTAAATGTTCATGTCATTTATAAATCAAGGTCCCAGAGTCTGGAGGAAGAGTGGAGAGGTCCAGAATGAAGTTTCCACAGTCCGTGATGGTTTGAGGCCATGTCCTCTGCTGGTGTTGGTCCACCGTGTTTTCTGAAGTCCACAGTCCACGCAGCATCTACCAGGACATTTTAGAGACTTCATGCTTCTTCTGCTGACGAGCTTCATGCAGATGCTCGTTTCATTGTCCAGCAGGACTCGACACCGGCCCACACTGACAAAAGGTACCAGTAGCTGGCTGTGGAATATTCTAATCATCTGAGACACTGTTAGTTTTCCATCATCTGTAATCCATAGTGGGTGGGAGGTAGGGCAGCTGATCTGGGTCCAGAAGGGCTCAAGCTCATCTCCCCACCATGCTCATGTGGCGTCCCTGAGCAAGACACTCAATCCCCAACCACCCCCCACCGTGTACCCACACAGCTGCCCACCGCTCCACCTGGGTGCATCCCACGTGCGAAGGGCTAAATGCACAGAACCAATTTCTTCATTGTATGGGAACATACGATGATGCACTAATCATCAAATCATCAAATCTATAAGAAATAGTCTTGAAATATTTCACTCTGTGCAACAAATCTATGTAAGATACAAGTTTCACTTTCTGAAATGACCATTTTTCACTTTGAACGATATATATAATTTTTTTTATTTTTTTTTTATGCACCTGTAGGTGTGGGTCTGTACTCTTGCTTACAAATTGTACTGGATCCAGCCACTAGGAGGCGCTCGTCCTTACTGGCTCCAGCTTTTGGTCCTGTCCGTTATAAGTTGATATGTTACATGGAAAGATTCTGCTTCAGGATTTGTGTAAAGCAAGATGAAATGAGGCAAAACATATTTTTTTTAACATTCTGGAAATAGTGCAGCGGACACTCAGAGAGGTGCACAAGCTGTGCAAGTTTTTGCAGCAATTGAAAGAAAATCATTAATTGTACGGCTCCTCATTTGGTTTGGCGTCACTATTTTCATTAAGATCTTGACTTGTTCAATATAAAAATATTGCAGCCTGCTGCTGACAGCGAGAATTAAAGCAGTTTTCTCTGTTCTGTGAAGCGTAAAATAAATGGCCATCAAAGTCAAAACCATCTAGAAAAATTGACATTTTCGAAATAAATGCTGGAAATCCCTTTTGTCTCAAACTGAAATAAAAATAAAACGGCAATAAGAACCTGATCCAGAAGAAAAAGGAAGCCTTTTAATTCTGTAGTCACATCTTTAACAGTTCCAGCCAATCATTAGCATTTTGATCAAAAATGTACATTTAGCTGCTCTCTGTGGGTCTGCGAAGACGTCTGTACTTTACGCTCAGGAAGAAACTTGGACCGAGTTGAAAAATCCCTTGGCTGGTCTTTGTTGTAGAAGAGACACATTCAGAGTTTTTCCCTTTTCACAGGACAATCATAAACTCATGAAGAAACACCGTTAAGACAAGAAAACTGCATAATTTAAAATATTATTTTGAAACGTTAAAATGTTTCGTCGTTAATCGCCCCAATAATCGCGACTAAAATGAAGCAGCAACTCAAGCAAATTACGTCTAGAACTGAAAAAGGGGTTCGGTGGAACCCTTGACCGCCATCTTTGATTTATTGTGATTCTCGTCATTTAAAGTCTGCAGGTGTTTTAACTTTTTATCGTCCTCAGATGAAGTGAAAAGATATAAATCCAGAGGTCTCTCGTAAAAGAGAACTGCTTCAGGTTTGTCCACCGTCTTTTCCTTCCTCCACCCTTCAGTCTGTTCGATCTACTCAGAAGGTCTGGTATCCAGCGTGGCTCCTCTTCCGGCCGATCAGATACGCGATGAGGACGATCAGCACCAGGCCAGCGAGAGCCGCTCCGACAACGATGGGGATCAACATCTGGTCCTGGTCCACCTGACATTCCTCCGCTGCTCACAGACCGGAAAGGACAGAAAACCAAACGACTCCAATTAAATCAAGTCCTACTTATTTCAGTTGTATCGTTAAAATAAATCACCTTGAGTAAAATAATTAAACATTTAATAATTCAATTAGGAGTCAAACTAAAAGTACAATAGAACCAAGATGAGACTTAAGCTTTGTGACTAAATAAATTTAAACTGAACGGGTGAGTCTAGAGACGTGGTGTCCAGTCCTGGTCCTTGAGGGACACTTTCATGCACGCTTTGTTCCCCTGCGCCAAAACACCGGATGGTTGTCTCGGACATGTATACGTAGACGCCTCGTTGAGAGGGCTGGCCCGCTGCAGCAGTACGTCAGAGCGTCTGCCATATTCGATGTGGCCAGGGCTTAATTTGTAAACGGATCGATGCTGGAACGCAAATGGTGGGCCGGCTGCTGGGTGGGGGGGGGTCCTAGGGCACGGGCATGCTCACAAGACAAGAACCTGACAAGTTTAATGACATAAAATATATTTTGTTAGCAAAGACTAAGATTTATTAAAGAATATTTCTGTATTTACAAAAAAAAAATAAAAAAAATTGTGCTTTGATAAACTCAATAAAACTAAAAAATTTCAGCAACGCAAAAGAGCAAAAGAGGGGGCAGGTATCACCCGCTTTGAGTTTATACTCTTTGTCACACGTGTGCTGTGGGTGACGAGCGTCCAGAGCGTCATAAAACCAGCGGCGGAGGTGCCGGAGTTATTTATCGTCTCACGGTTCAGGCACGGCTCCCAAAACGACAGCGTCGCCACTTTTTGAAGGGTAGAGGCAGAAATGCTTCACTTGAAGGGGCAGCTGATCGTATGTGATACGAGTGTGTGTGTATGAAAGAAATGCGCAGCGAAGGGGTCAGTGACTTTTAACAAGATTATTAAAAATGTTTGCTTATTAAATATTTAGGAGGTAGCAGCCCTGAGCAACCTGGGGATCAATGCAGAGGGGTTAAACCCTGTGGCATAGTTATTCACATTATGTCATTATTTTCAGTTTAAAGCAGAGCTTCTCAGTTATTTTCGGTTACCCCCCCCCCCCCCCCCCCAGGAAGAAGTAAACATCTCGCCCCCCCAACTCTCCGCCGCGACTGTAAATAGTACAATTTGTCTAAAAATGTTTTAGAAATACACCTCTGCATAACATTGTACCCTTATTAACATTAAATAAATATAGATCAACTTACAACAAAGATTATTAACATTGTTTTATAGTCTGTAACAGAAAAGGCTTAAAGTGCATCAATTTACCTGAAATTAAAAAAATATACATCCTTCTTTAAACCGTAAACATTTTTGACCTGTTGATACTGAACAATCAAATTAAATACAATCAATAAATAATCCATCCATCCATTATCTTTACCCGTTTATTCCATTTTGGGTCACAGGTGTCTCTGGTGCCCATGTCCAGCAATCACTGTGCGAGGGGCGGGGTACACCCTGGACGGGTCGCAAGTCCATCACAGGGACACATGGAGACAAACGAGACAAACAACCATTCACTCTCTCACTCACACCTAGGGACAATTTAGAGTTACCAATCAGCCTAACATGCATGTTTTTGGTCTGTGGGAGGAAACTGGAGTACCCGGAGAAAACCCACGCATGCACGGAGAGAACATGCAAACTCCACCCAGAAAGGCCCCTGGACCGGGGTTTGAACCAGGGACCTGCTCGCTGAGAGGCAGCAGCTCAACCAGTTGCGCCACCGTGCTGCCCTCAATAAATAATAATAAATTCAAATAGATCAGCAACATTTTAAGACAGGAGTGTTATATAAAACACTTTGACCTACAAAACAAAAATGAATTAAACAATTTGTGCTGTTTTTTTTTTAAAAATCAAAATGAAGTCAGGTTTAATGGCTACAATGAGCACGTTTTGCAGAGCACAGATTTTTGAAACATGATCCTGCAGCTCTCAGCTTCTGCTCAATGTGTAGCTGGACCTGGACCTGGTCTTCAGAGCAGCGACAGCAGAGAAGCTGCAAAGAGCTCAAGAGCTGCCTGGAGGTGTGTGTGTGTGTGGGGGGGGGTTTCAGTGGAAAAAATTGTGATGCGACGATAAAACTAAAAAATTTTACACTATTTTTATACTCTGTTGCTGCGCGCTGTGGGTGAAATGCGTCCAGAGCGGAGGACTTGTTAGTAAAGAACAGAGTCCTAACATTTATTAAACATTACTTCTGTATTTAAAAAAACACACAAAAATTGTGCTTTGACAAACTAAAAAAATAAATAGTTAAAGTAAAAGAAGAAGAGGGGCAGGTAACGCTCTCGCTTTGACTTTATTCTCTGTCGCATGCGTGATGCGGGTGACAAGCGTCACCAGCTGAGGTGTCACAGCGACACGGTTCAAGCACGGCTCCCCAAACGACAAGGCAGTCATATTTGTTCATAACTTTATTATTAGTCAGCCTGAGAGTTACTGGATCCATGCAAACAGTTGCCGGAACACACCCTATCAAAATAAGAGTTCCCGGATCTTGTTCCGGCAGGATCCGGCTCAAATTAAGCGCCGGATGTGGCAGATCTGCCGATCAACTAATACAAGGAAATGGACAGAACTTCATAAAGCACCGTTCTACCAAGTGTTTTAAGCTAATCCCTGCTATTCACACACACTTGTATTTATATATATATATATATATATATATATATATATATATATATATATATATATGTATGGAAAACAAACGGGCACCAAAGACAAAATTTCTAACTTTTAACGTGATTATTAAAAAAGTTTACTTCTTAAATATTTAGGTTAAAGGTAAGCACTACACCAACATATGTATTATTTTGAGTGTTTACAACTACTAACGTGTGTAACAATATTACTGTGGTGATAAATATAGAAATATTCATATTTAACATTTAATCTGTGTCTATAATAACCAGATCCTGGAGAGCACTAACATTCATTCATTCATTTAACTGATTTTGATTAATCACGTCGATTAATCAATGATCAATTTGTCTGCATATGTGTTATAACCTTGTAAAATAACAGTCTTGCACAGCTTTTTCCGTGTTGCCACTCTGAATAAACAAGGCATCTTCTCATATCGCTTCACTTCTGCCACATCCAATATGGCGGCAACGTCAACGTACGATTCAGCGCTCCATGAGGCATCTATGTATATATGTCTATGAGTTGACTTACCCCTTTAGCATGTCTTCAAGTTCTGTACAAGCATGTTAATGAGCCATTTAATTCAACTAAACCGCTGGTCTAGAGTTTGATTTGGAAATGCAACAACACCGTCAGTCCTGAGGAAGGCTGGTCCATGGGCGAGGCTGTGGGTTTTAGTTCTAAGTTACAATCAGAAGACCCGTTCCATCGGACCCGAGGGGTCTGGAGGGCTCTTGAGCTTAAAGCAGCTCTGAGGGGAAGGACTAAGACCATGAATAACATTAAAACCTAACCTCACTGGGGATTAACAGAGTAAAATATTTTATTTTTATTGTTTTAAAACACCAGCACTGAATGTTTGTTTATATTATTATTACACAAACACCAACAATAAAGAGAATAGAACCAGTAAAACAACAGAATGCATCACACCTGTGGCAAACTGCTTCGTTGTGACGCCAAACGGCTGCACCTGCAGTCTGAAGGTGTTGAGAGCGAAGGTCGGCACCACCTGCAGGGTTTGCTCCGCGTTGCACATGTAAGAGCGGCCCAGCGTGCTTCGCAGGAAGTCCAAACTGGTGTTACTGGCCGAGAAGGGAGCTGAGGGGAGAAAGAAAAAGATCAGAACTCGACCCGCAAGAAGTCAGGACGAACGGGAGACTCACCCGTCGTGTCGGACCAGTTGGCCTGCAGGTCGATCCCACTCAGGTGGTACTTGTTGGATGTTGTGTTCTGTGGAGGAAGGTGAAGTTAACGACACGGTGCTTTTAACGCTCAGACACACAAACTGGAATTCAAGGTTACCATAGTGAAGGTGAAGTTGAGCGTCAAAGTTGGTTCTTGCGTGAGCACCAGCGAGGCTCTGCTAGCTCCGCACGATCCTGAAGAACTCGTCAGATTGGGAGTCAGGTTAAATAATTCTTGGACAGTCTGGAAAAGACGAGAAACCGGTCGGTTTATTTGAAACAGGCATCGGCAGAGACCGCCTACGAGTGCTGCTCGCTTCGTGTCACCTTGTTCTGAGACTGAGAGACGTAGGAGACGTTGAGCTGCAGTCCCATTTGGGCCAAGAGGCATTCAGTGCCGTTGCTGTTCTTCACGGAGTAGGTGCCGCGCACGGGTGTTCCTGGTGGAGTTGGTGCGGGAGCTGCCGTGGTTGTAGTGGCGGCGGTGGTTGGAGTAGCTGGTGTGGTGGTTTGATCTGCTGCACAGACACTTTCTGAGGGAGACATAAGTCCACAATTAGCCTGGACAGGAAGCTGCCAAACTGAAGGACGAGAACACTGCCGGTGCTCTACCTGCTGGACTCAGGTCGTTCCCGGGCATATAGGCCTCCAGCCTCATGTTGGAGAAAGTGACAGAGTCTTCTCTGACTCTGATGGTGGTGGGACTCATACAGCGGTAGGTGGTGTTGATCGGCGCTCGGATCTCAACGGAGTCGTTCGTCAAAGCAACCACACCTGGAAAACATGTTCACACACTAAATTATTTAAAAATGCCAGACGGACATGTTGTTGTGCAAAAATCACGTTTGTTTTTAAAGGGCAGGTAACAACTAACTGCTGACAACAGCTTAAAAGCTCATTTTAAATTTAACTTTTTTTTTTTTTTGGTTTAAACGTCACCTGAGAGTTCGGCCTCTGGGAAGAGTGACGCGTCGCTCAGGTTGTAACTCAGAGTCAACTCCGTGACGCTGTAGACGCTTCCGTTGGTGGAGAAGCTCAGGCCGATCCCGTGGCCCGGTCCAAACAGCGCCACCAGCTGCGGCGAGCTGCTGTTTGTGCCACACGAGCTGTTGGCCGCATCGACCAGGGCGGAGTCGGGCAGCAGGACCGAAACCGTTTTCTGAGGGGAAGACGAGGGACAGTTTACAGACAGACAGGAGAAGATTGGAGGACAAGGTGGTGAAAATCAGAATCCTGTGAGCTCACGGAGCTGTTGGAGGTGAGGTATGTGATGGAGAGAGACGCAGACAGCTCAGCTTTGATGCAGGTGGAGTTTCCCTCCTTCACCTCCAGGGTCACGGCCTCAAGTCGACCTGCAGACGAGAAGAATTAAACGGGATACGAATACACCTCTCATATTTTTAGATCTGTTTGCAGCATTTTACTGCTCCTTTCAGCGTATTACTGCAAGTTCAGAATCATCTTTACTGTCATTGCACATTTAAGTACAGCGAAATTACGTCCGTACAGCCGTCCGAAGGGTGGACGGAAGTGTACCGGGGCTGCAGCTTCTATGAAGCGCTGCCTTTATCGCTTAGATAAGAAAAGGGGGAAGAAAGCGAAGGGAGAAGGTGTAAAATCAAAGATCTCTCACATTGTGTCCTTGGACATAGGACACAGTGTAACGCAGCAAAAAAATACCTCAGCACAAAAGCAACATAGATAGACATAATACGTTTTGCAGGGGGAGACAAGAGGGTGAGATTGTCCATGAACACTTCCATAGTCCTGATAAAGGATATTACAGTGTCTATCAGCCAGTACAACTCTGATAGGCTCCACAGATGTTCATAAATAAAGACAAACAACTCCTTCAGTAAAATTCCTCCAAAACACCATCAAAGCTTTTAAACTCCAATAAAACAACTGTTTTGTATAAAACTAGAAAAACCAGACTGAGTGCTGGATGATGGCTGAAATGAACTAAAACTGAGTTCTTGAAGCTAAAAGAACCAGGGCACTAAAAGCTAAAAGGAGCTAAATCTAGCTAAAAGTAGACAAACACTATCTAAAAATAATAGAACAAAGTAGCAAAAACACTTAACAGTGTAAAGGGTCAAGATGCTAACTGAAAGCTAAAAAGAAGCTTAACACTAGCTAAAAGCTTAAAAAAGAAGAACCTTAGGTAAAAGCTAAAAAGGCAGCATAAAGCTAGCAAAAAGCTAAAAGTAGAAGAATCGTGGCTAAAATCTAAAAACAAAATACTAGCTAAAAGTAACAGAATGGTAGCTAAAAGCCAAAAGTAGCAGAACATAAGCTAAAAGTAGGTGAATGGTAGTTAAAAGCTCAATGTATTCGAACGATAGCTAAAAGCTCCAAGTTGCAGAACAGTAGCTAAAAGCCAAAAGGAGCAAAACATTAACTAAAAGTTAAATGCAGAATGGTAATTAATAGCTCAAAGTTTTAGAATGATAGTTAAAGTAGCTCTAAGTAGAATAGAGACATTAACAGTCAGTTTTATTAAGCAGATTTCAAATAAAGTTTCTGAAGGAATTGAAGCCATCTGTATTACAGGTAAAGTATTAGTAAATAAAGTTAAATATATAAAAAGTTACAAATTTATCAAAAAAACAAATGTGATAACACTTATCTCCTGAATTGGCTTGACATTTGGATTGATGAAATCACACGAGCGTCAATCTTTAATTGCAAATATTAGCTAATAACGTCATAGTTATCATTATTTAGTTTTATTTTTGTTAATAAGGGTTCAATTAAATCTTAGATAATTGGACAGTCCTACTTTCTTCAAATAGTCTGCACTGTGTAACAACAAAAAAGAATGTTGAATATGTTATTCGTCATATTTGTAGTTTATGGTATAAATGGAGCCACATTAACTAGTAAACAAAAACAAAGCGCAGTTCTAATATGTGACCACTGGAGGGCGACAGAAAACTAAAAGTTACCTTTGACTTGACAACTCATGCCACATGTGATGAAACAACAATAAACCTACTTGAAATTGAACTTTTTTAGTTGTTTAAATGTTTTGTTTGATTGCATCTTAAAGCACTTCGGTCGCTTCTGTTGGTTTTTTCATGTACTGTAGAAATAAATATGATTTTGATGTAAATCATTCGACAAAGAGAAATAACTCACGTTTCATAACACAATAACGCAACAGAGGAGCTGCATCAGTTGCATCAAACACTTCCCAAAATGTCTAAAATTTGTTCACCAGTGGGGGAAAACAAACAAAAAAATTACTTTCAACATAAACTGTGATTATTTCTGGCGATATTAAACAAATTTTAAGTGAAGGAATGCATATCGCCCTCCATCTTGCGTGCCAAATTTAAACAAAGCTGTTACACAATCTGTCAGTGCTCAGAGTACGTGTTGGGGATGACTCTCAGCTACTACCACACCAGATTTCAGCTCAGTATGTGTAAAAAGGGACTGAGTTTTAGCCATGTTTTGGTGTTGATAAGGACATTTACTGCAGCACTCTGTAGACGGACATCCAGTGAGCAGAGTTTTATTCAAACCTGTCCAGACAATGATCAAATCCTCTGAATCTGACCCCCCCCCGTCACCTCTCTGTTCAGCCCGTAAACACACAGCCGACGGTTTACAAAACACCGAAACCGAGCCGTGAGCCGAAGTCTTGTGTGCACAAAGATTAAAGCTGCAGAAAGCAAACCGTGCGCCTGTCAGGACCGGGCTGCAAGGAGGCAGGAAGTGCTGAGAACAGACTGGGTAGATGTGGTTACACCACTGATAAAGCCAGTGTGCATTAAAGGGCCAGTTTATTCTGCAACAGTTGACTGTAGAAATGTGTGAAGCTCTCAGATGACGCAACAATGAAGGTCATCTGATGCTTCACATCAACAGAACAAAAACTGAACACAGGTCCATAAAGATCCGTATCAGCACGGCGTTCATGAGTTACAGCTAAGGTTCTTTTTATTTTATGTTTCATGTGTCTGTTAGTAAAATATCTCACGAACCACTGGATGAATTAGATAAAACATCTGCAGCTGATTAAGCTGTGAAAAGATGCAGCTTCTCAAGACTTTTGGTTAAATTTGTGTACCATCCACAATAAAAGTAACCACTAAACGCTCACTTTTTGTTTGCAAAAGGTCTACCTCATCATTTTTAACAAGTGAAATCAGGAGTTACGAGCCGAACGTTGACAAGTTCCCATCAGACAGTCCAATTTGCTTTTTTCTAATTGATGATTTTGAGATAATTAAACCTACAAACCATCATTTAATGGTACAGAAACTACGTTGCAGCATAAATACATTGAAAAATCACTTTTTGTCAGCTGCTATGGCTTTAACTTTTGGTGTGAATCCAATTCAAGATGGACGCTACAGCTAATTGATATTAATCAACACATAAATGGGAATAACTCAGCCCGTTTTAGAAACATTGAGCTGAAATTTAATGTGGTAGTAGCTGAGAGTCATTCCCAACTTATAATCTAAGAAGCACTATTTGACTTAACTTCCATTAAATCTGTTGATAAAATCTGAATACATTTGCTGATTTAAAGCAGAATAAACACTCAGTCAATTATAATCATTTATTTAATATTCAGCCATGTTGATTATCAGTTTATTTAGAGAAACATTTGCTGATTTCAGACACTGTTTGGAGGAATTTAAAACTTTATTTATGGTTCCCAAAGTTGGGGTTAAAGGCCTCAATGTGGGTTACTCAACACTGAGCAGAGACCCTGAGATAATCTCCAGATTAACAAAAATTATTATTAGTATAGTCATAAACAGACAAAATATAGAGATAGAAGTTTAAAAACCACTGATTGAATTTTTAATTAATTTCAAATATTTATTGCAGACAAAAAATGTCAATACATAAGTGTCAAAAAAAATGTCTAAGATTTGATTAGATATTTCAAATAAACACATATTTGATCTAATAACAGGAAGAGAAACAACTAGAAGGATCAAATGTCAAACTATGCTTCTATTTTCTGCCATTTTTAATCATTTCACCCCCCAAAAAACACTAAAACTCTGAAGCAGGCCATCAGTTTGTCAACTTAGAAAATGGGATTTAAAATTTCTGGTAGCTGATTTAATGTTGAAGCATTTTAAAAACAAAATATTAGAATAAAACAACTGTTCTTTACCAAAACTGTAATGTTTACTAGCTTGTTATGAATTATTATAGATATTACAGATAATGTGCTCTTATAGTCGTTACTGTTCTATAAAGTTTACTTTTATATAAAATAAATTGCATTACAGTACATTATATACTTCAGTTTTATGGCTGGAAAATCCAAATCAAATGCATTTCTAATAAAACTGTGTTTTTAATACTTTAGATCTAAATTATAATCTTATTTTTTTAAGTCGAAATAAAGCCAGGGTTCATAATAGATTCAACTTTCTGCGTTTAAACGTGAAGTTTAATTAAATTTTAAAAGTTGTGTTTGGGGGCTTTTATTGTCTTAACCAAAGTCTCACCTGAAACCGCGAAGAAGAAGAAGACGATGAAAACCGCGACGAAGCTCATCTTTCAAGTCAAGGTTTCTCTCTTCCGTCGAAAGAAGACAAAAACGAGAGCAGAAATTACATAAATAAATTTAAAAAAAAAGGTCCCCGCGAAGCGCCGCGGATGTCGCAGCACAGGTGGGTTTTCTTGTCGCACTTGACTTCGCGGACCGTTAGCTCGGAGGGTGGTGCCGCTCTTCCGGTTTACCTCCCTCCTCTGCCGCGCGAAAGTAAAACAAAATGGGGTCGGTCTTAAAAAATGCCCATCAAAGCTCGTCCCGAGGGTGGAAACGGTCACAAAGTCGCGGTTAGGTGCGGAGCACAGCCGAAATGACAGACCAGCAGAATCTACAGCGACCCTGTCACGTGAGGCTGGGTCACCCACCCCTCAAGTATGGAAGCCCGTTAAAGCCACATGGAAAAAAACAACAACAATTATTTATTTTGAACTGCCACTTTCAGTGTCAGAATTTTAAAATACGAAGCTAAAATCATGGTTATCAGTTTCAAAGTTATATTTATGATATACGTCATTTTTACGAGCTGCAAAGTCGTGTTTGAATTTTTTTTTTATTAAATTTTATTCATTTTAAAATACAACACACAAAAAAAACAATAATGCAAACTAAGTTTATATAATATATAAATAAAATGAAGGGTAGCAGCAGGAAGAAAAAATCTTATTAAAGTTTGAAATTTATAAAGGACTTTTATGACTATGACTTTAAAACTTAGTCATGACTTCTATTTCATAATTATATTACAACTTTTAAACACATAACATTAACTCATGATGACCGAGTTTCACACCTTATACCAAAAAATACAAAAATCTTACCTCGTTCGTTCAACCTTTATTTAGACAGGTGCCCCCAGGACTCATTGACAAGAGAGACCTGATTTCAACAAAGAATGATGACAACAATAGACAGTTATAAAAAGGCATACACATATACTATACTTATATTAATAACTTTTAGACGCACAATTATGACTTTAAAAATCAAAAATAAGATGCTGTCTCAGAAAAGTGGCTTTAAAACTCTATATTGACATGGTACGTTGAGAGTTTTGTGATGAAGTTAAACTCAAAGCAACCTGCTCCTCAGATAAAGTTTATGTATTTGAATTGTTTCTGTACAATGCCCTGAGATGAATTCTGTTGTGACTTGGTGCAAAATAAACTGAAGTGAATGAGTTTATATTTTGCATTTCTGCCTTTAAAACTTGTAATGAGATTAACTTTTAAACTCACGAGTTTTAAAAGTTTTTGAGATAAAAACCGTCATAAAACAACTTAATTCTGATTAAATATCTTAGGAATGGCAACCTCATAAAAGAGGTCTTATATTTGACTTTAAACTCATTTCTTTGTATCCTTTAAAATAAATATAACACTCACCTTATTGATCTTGTATTCCATGACGCATAAATTACTTTAAACTCCCTTTATTGACTTTGCACTTTAAAAAATTTTAACAAAATATTTTACCGTCTTTAAAACTTGTAATTATAAATTTGCCATAATTTAAAAACTCATCACAATGGCTTTGCATCGAATAAATTCTCTTTATTGGATATTTATGGCTTTAAAACTGATTTATGACTGCATCTAATTGAAATGACTCAACTCAAAAGTTTGAATTTTACATTTCAGTATAACTCATAACTTTATACCTCAAAAGTCTGGCTTTAAAATATATAGTTATGACTTTAAAACAAAGATTCTGTATCCTATGAAACAGGTTTTTTTTTACATTCAGCTGGCTGAAATGAGCTTCCATACATTTGTGTACTCCATATAATAAAGCCATTTTCTTTAATTGGTTAGGAAAAAAGATACACTTGTAACAAACTATAATAAGCAAAAAATGATAGTAGCTAACATTAATTGGCTGTTTACACCTAAGAAAAAAAACAACTGAGCTTTCTGGAATTAATATTTTGAAAATGACTTTTCATCACAATTATTTTTCCTAGATTATGATTAATGTATTTCAAAGGATTTTATTAAACATAATCAATATATTTTATGCTTGTGAAGTGCCCGAGAGCTTAATTAGCTGCATATAGATGAGTCTACACAGCCGGAGCTCGGCAGGCTGCAGAGAACGTGTGGAGAGTCAGCTGACATCCTCACCAATTCACGAGGTCGTGCAAAACCCCAAAAGAACGCAGAGACTGCTTTAATGCTTACAGGGCTCTGCTACATTCTTTCTGCAGTTCTACCCACCTTTTAAGAACACAGTTAAAGAAAACTGACTTTTTAAGATCCCTTAAAGCTGTACGTTCCCTGACGTGAATACAGAAAGTGCACATGCAAGAGCTTTTATTTTCACTTCTGTAAACTTGATATAAACTCTAAAGTTTCCTGACTCGAGTCTGAAAAGGAAAATGGTTCTCAGAAGTTAAAATTATCTTAGTTTCTGCTCATAAGTCACGTGTGAAGTACTAGTCTGTAACTGAAAGCTATTTTCGTTGACGTCACCGAAACTGGAAGGTAATCGCCAGTTTTTTGATGTGTGACACAATTTACATGCCAAAAGAGAATTCCTCTTAAAAAAAAATACCAAAGGATGAAGCGAAGAGTATTTGAGGGACGAAGCTATAAAAGAAAACAAAACGTATCCACCGTTGCCCAAATATAAATCATTAAATATTCATTTTATTCAAGTTCACTTCGCACTCTGACAGAATACAATCCAGTCTACAAAAACATGACGTCGGACATTTGGTCAAAACATACAAAGATAGCAAAAGTTACACCCCGCGTGGCTAGCCTCGCCTCCTCAAACAGCTGCTTCTCTACCCAGTCAGGCAACCAGTCCAGTCAGAAGCTAAAGCAGCCATTTAAAAAAAAGAAGAAGAAGAGAAAACATCTCAAACAAAAACAAAACACTAACAAGAAACCTGAAAACTGGTGGAAACAGACTGTGGTAGACAAAAGGTGATTTAGATTAATGGGAAGGAAGGAAAGCAAATCCAAAGTAAACGAAACGAAGAGGGGGATAAAAAGTGCCCGTTAATTTTAGCTGCAGATTTGTAAGTCCGATCATTAACGACCAGAACTGCTCGTACAGCCCGGTTTCAGAGTCCCTGTGAGGATGTAGAAGAATGGGGAACAGCACAGCCGAGTCTCTCCATCGCTCTGGACCATCCAGATGCTGCGAACTGGAGCGGGTGGCGGAGGGGCTGTGTTGGGGAGGGGTCCAGCTGTGAGCCTGCAGTGAGAAAAGCACGGCAGTGGCAGCAGCTTTCCCTCAGGCAACATAGTGATACTGGTTTGGAGTCTCCTTGTCACGCTCCATGTAGTCTCTGTCTATGAGCGACTCGATGCGCTTCTTCAGGTCGCCCGGCTGTGAAGAGAGAGAGAGAGACAGATGGAAATGAAGTGAGAGCTACAATCCCAAACCTGAAAACGTTTGGACGTTGAATAAAATGTAACAAAAAAACAAAACGCAAAGATTACGACACACATCTGTGTTGTGCGCCGTTTGTACTGAAAGTTTTTCGAGCCAGGTTTAGCTAGCGTGTCTATATTGCGCGCCGCTAGCTTAGTGCTACATTGTTGTCGGCCAGCAGCGTTTCTGTTGATGGGGTGGGGCGCCCTGCTTGTTTAATGGTGGGGGAAACACTGAGAGACCAGACTTTAGAAGTGCCGTTAACGTCCAGCTGGTCAGCAGTCCCGGATCATCTTTGCTGGACAGGAGCAGACGCCGTTCTAAAACCTGCCATAGCTTTTTGAATTGATGGTTCGTTTCCAGATGTGTAAGCTGCCCATGCAAGAGGCACTTATGCACCCCCATACCATCAGAGAGGCAGGCTTTTGAGCTGAGCACCGTCAACAGGCTGGTACGTTCCTCTCCTCTTCGGTACAGAGAGCAAGACGTTCATATTAAGAAAAAAAATAAAATAAAATTCAAATGTAAATGTCTGGCCACAGAACAATTCTCCACTTTGCCTCAGCTTTGGTCCAAAGAAGACGGTTCTGGATGATGTTCACATATGACGCCTTCTTTGCACAACAGAGCTTTAAGCAGAATTTGTGGATGGCATGGTGAACAGTGTTTACACGGACAATGATCTGTGGACGTGTTCCTGAGCCCATGCACTGATGATCAGAACAGAACCAGAACTGTTTTTAAAGCAGTGGCCCCTGAGGGCCCGGCGATAACGACCAAAGTCCTCGTCCTGACCTGGTGCCAACTAAACTAATTAGCTGCTAAATTCTCCTCCAGCCTTTTATTTTTTGTTCTACCGGTACTTACTGTTATACACCTTTGTTGCACCTGGCCCATTTTACTTTAAACATGTTGTTGTTCTAAACTCAAAAATATTTTATTAATTTTTCAAAATGTGGTGCACTTTCTAAATATTAACATCCAACTATGTTTACCATGTTCCACTGTTTATAAAAATGGGTTTATGAGAGCTGCAAATCACTGCATTCTGTTTGTGTTGACATTTTACACAACATCCCAACACAGAATTGATGTGATAAAAGAAAAATGAAAACAGAAAAAAAAAAAAGGTCTAATGTGTCACCTTGACGGGAAACTTCAGCTGGTTGTAGAGCTCCGACACCAACAAGTTGTGGCTCAGGGTCTTCCTCATTTTCATGATGCGAACAACAGCCGCATCGATCTGATACTGCCTGTCCTGAAACACACGCTCCGTCGTGCTTACCTGCTCCTCTACCTGTAAGCACAAAATGTTAAAAATATGAACAAATCCTTCAACATAACAGGGCTTATTACCGTATTTTTTACTATAAGTCACAGTTTTTTTGCATAATTACGCCCAAGCTACGTATTTATGAATTTTCCCCCATATTTATAAACCAATGTTTGGCTGAGATATGACCATTTTCATTCATTCTGACTGAAAATATTGAACACTACCATTTTCAGCTGCTAGATGGCACTGAGCAGTATGGCATGCCGTTGTATCATGTAAAAGGTAAAAGTGGCTATTAATGACACAATCGGCTTGCCACAGGACGCCACCGTCATCTGCCTGGAGCAACCGTCAAATTTGCTTCATTTTGCTGCGACGCCCAGGTGAAATGCAGTTAATTTAACCACTGAAGTGCATTTATTAAGGAAAAGTTCAGCTGAGACGCACCTTTACTATAAAGTCGAGCTAACAAATAATTGATTTTAGGTGGTGATCTTGTTAAATTCTTGTTAAAGTCGTCCCATGCATGCCCCCGCGGCCACCATTTGGCAGCCAATTGATTTTTGGCACAACACCTGCCCACATTTCCGGGTTGTCAGCGGTGACGCGTAACAAACAAGACGCATCAGCGGTGATGCATAATAGATGCACCGTCTACGGCGAAGTGACGTATTTATGGATTTTTCCACTTTATTAGACATATTTGGACCGATGCAAATTATAGGGCGGTGCGACGTGTACAGTGGAAAATACAGTATTGCTGAAAAACTATTGAAAATTAGGCAGCAGAGAAAGAGGGAGGTGGGAATAAAAAAATTACAAAAATTATTTTACCGTTTCCTTCATTTGAATTTGGTTGATCTTGATGCGGAACAGCTTGTGTTTAAAATCGTTGTTGAAGTTGAATCGGTCTCCGTCTTCCACATCTTTCCCTCGAGGGTTCTTGTTGAGGACACGGGCTTTCCCACAAGCCAGGGACTGCAGAGTGCGTCTGAGCTCTCCCTCCTCTGTGTAGGACAGCAGAGAATGAAGCAGCAGGCACTTTGGACGCAACTGGACAGTTGGACCACGTGTTTAAAGAAAAGTGAGACCTATTCCGGTGGCGGCGCCGATCTCCTCCACGCTGAATTCTTCTCCCTCGTTAAACATGAGCAGCACCAGCGTCTGGAACAGGGAAACCTGTACCTCCTTCTTCCCCTGCAGGATTCAGCAGTTCTAAGTGCAGGTCTGATTTGTTTGTGTAGAATCCTTCAAAATGTGCCATGAAGATCCCTTACCTCTTTAAACTCTGCCTTGAGGACGGCGTGGCCCAGAGTGGGCTGCCACTGCAGCTTCCTCCCACTGTGCTTACTGAGGTAGAACAGCTTGAACACCTCCTGGAGTTTCACCATCTACCAAAAAAGTTCAAGATAGAATGCTCATTCATTTAGTAGTTAAAAAAAGCAACACAGCAGCAAAAGAGAGAGGCTGCCTGAGTGTGTTTGAATGCACATCCAACCTAGGTGGGAAAGTCTTTACCTCTGAGGGCAGGTGGACCTCCATAGGTGTGTACGAAGGCCAGTAGCCCATAGTGAGGATGTTCACAGTGAGCTCTATGTTGCTCGGCTCACTTAGATTTTGCATATGCTGAGACAAAACAAAAACAGTTTACTATTGTGCAAAAAAAAAAAAAGTATAGTGTGAACATGGCATAAGCTCATCTGTTTAAATGTTTTGGTTCAGAGGTTTTCTGTACCTGTTTGAACTGGATCATGATGTCTTTGGACAGCTCCATGTCCTTAAACATCCCCTCCAGCTTACTAGTAAACGCTGCTCCGCACTCTGCAGGAAGTCAAAACCCACAAATATCAGAGCTCACGTGTTCTCAGTACTTCATACAATCAGACTAGACAACGCCAAGCTTCCTCTACTTTCTACGTTTGTTTAAACTTCAAGATTATTTTTCCTCATTAAGCATTTTAACCTTAAGTTTTAAAGGTAATAAAAAAATATAAAACCCATTTGAAACAATTCATTACTTCTTCAGTACCATAAATGTACCTACAGAAATACAGAGCTGAATGATTTTACTGAAATTTGCTGAAGAAGCTAAAACTGAGATGATAAAGTTAAAAGAAGCAAAATGCTAAAAGCCCAAAGAAGCAGAATGTTAGCTAAATGCTGTTAAAAGTTAGCTAAAAGTAGCAAAAGGGTAATTTAAAGTAGCACGCGGCTAGCTAAAGTATCAAGAGGCTAACTAGAAGTGAAAAGTACTACAATGCTAGCTAAAACCAGCAAAAACAAAAGCTAAATCAGCAAAAATTCAGCTAAAAGTAGAAAAAGGGTGGCCAAATTTAAAAGTAAATTAGAAAATTCTAAAGTAGCAAAAAAAAAAAAAAAATTTTAAGTAGCAAAGTAGTGATGGTAGGAGTGGTGGAGCAGAGGTTAGAGAAGGTGGGCCTGTGGTCGGAAGATCGCTAGTTCAACTCCCAGTACCGACAACATCAAAAATGTTATGGGATAGGTGAAGCACCAACACCTGCCACCACCCTCATTTGTCCCACTCTTGGCCCTTGAACAAGGCCCTTAATCCCACCATCTGCTCCCCTGGGTGCCCTAGATAGCAGCTCTCTGCTCCACATAGAGAGCTGTGGTAGCTCAGTGGTATGTGGTTGTGGCAAAAAGGGCATCTGGTGTAAAAACAAAATCCAATTCAAATCAATTGATAAAGCCTAATGAAAGTTAGCAATGAAAGAGGCGGGGGACACCTGAACAGGTTGTAAATCCATCAAAAAGACATTTAGAGACAAACCATCCACGCTCTTACTCACACCTAGGGACAACTAAAGGCTCCCACAGACTTGGGCGGACCTCAGTCTGCGCAGAAACTACGGGCACCGTTTGCAGAAGGTTGGGACTTCATACTTGAGCATACACCCGATCGGCTGCAGACCAGCTCCGCAGGCAAGGGGCGTTTACCTTCGGGACAAATTGAGTTTGCCGATTGGTCATTTGCTGACACGCCTACTGGATTGATGGAAAGATGCAACAAAGAGAGCTGGCAGCAAGCGGCAGCAGTGTTCTGTGTTTATATGGTTGTTAATAAAAAGTTCTAAAAAATAAAAAAAACAGGGAGCACTGGCCCTGCAGCCCACACATCAGACCAGCCCACCAGAAAATCTCCAGACCCTCCCGCAGTCACGCTGGACCTGATTTTAATTTGTTCATGACAAATTCCTTAATTTCTCTCACAATTTCAGTCATGGCGTCAACGGACGAGGAGGAAGAGATCGCTTGCCTCTTGGAAAAAACAAAACAAAAGAAAAGGCCATTAAACCAGACCACGGATGAAGAAGGGGTATTTAATACATTGGTGTTGCATACAAAACAGTCCGTCGTCAGGCAATTTATTGTGCGACACCGAGTATGCATACACGGTCAAAAAACTTGATCTTTGCACGGACATGGCTTGCTGGCGTCCGCTTGCGGACTGTGGTCCGCCCAAGTATGTGGGAGCCTTAAGAGTTTTATGACAACTTGCCGTTTCAAAATGTAAGAAACGAGACTCACCGTGTTTGAGTTTGGAGAGCATGGACTTCTCAGCATCTACAGAGGCGCTCTTTCCCACGAGCAGACGCTTGGCCAAGTCCTTCTTATAAAAAGCTTCAAACACATCTTTTCCTGTTTGAGGAAATAAAATTTCAAGAAGGTTAACCATTCTCACACATTCACACACATGCACACACACATTAATATAATTATTGTGCATGCAGGAGTGTAACTGACCGTGTATGAAGCGGAAAATGATCATTATCTTGTCCAGGATTCTCTCCAGCTCCTCTTCTGTCGCCTCTTTGTTTCCTGCTCTTAACTTCGAGTCGACGTATTTAGCTGTGTGTAAAATAAGTTATCATGAGGTGGAAATACTAAAAACCAAAACTTTTCAGAAGGACAACAGCAGTTTAACAAAGTTAAATCAGGTCCTCTGGGATCCAGTCTGAGGAGCTGTAACAAACTCAGTCTTATAAGCAGCACCTTCTCATAGTGGATCAACCAGTTTGTTGGTTACAGCCAGAACTAGCTGTTCATTTGATAAATGAGGACCGTCAGCCTAACGACCGATCATTGGCACCCTGAAGGCTGTTTGCTATTCACAGGGATACTAACAATAACAGCATTGTAAAAGGAGGACGGTTGAACATGGAGGGTTCTCTTCACAAAGATGGCCTCCTTTACTCCTCTCTCAAACCAACATTCCTTTCTATTCAGGATGTGAACATATTCATCCCTGAAAGAGTGACCGCTGGCCTGGAGATGAGTGTAGACCGCAGAGTCCTGGCCTGATGATGTTGATCTTCTGTGCTGGGCCATCCTTTTGGCCAGTGGCTGTTTTGTTTCCCCGATGTAAGACTGATCACAGCCCTCCTGACACTGAACAGCATACACAATATTACTCTGTTTGTTTGTGCCGGGGGACTGGATCTTTGGGATGAACCAGTCTTTGCCGTAATGTATTTTGGGGTTTAAAAGCCACTGGGACGTTGTGTTTAGAAAATGAAAGTCTCAATTTCTCTGAAACTCCCTCAACATACGGAATGACCACTGGTCTGGGTCTGGGTTCCTCTTTTTCACCTGATGGCTGACTAGAGTCCTGTTTGGGTTTCTTCTCTGCTTTCAGGAAGGCCCAATTAGGATATCCACATTGCTCTAGAGTCTGTCTTGTGTGGGATTTCTCCTTCTGCCTGGCTCCTGAGTTAGTGGGGACGCTGTCTGCTCTGTGGTACAGAGTCCTGATGACTCCTAACTTGTGCTCCAAAGGGTGATGGGAGTCAAACTGCAAATACTGGTCTGTGTGGGTGGGTTTGCGGTACACCTCAGTTTGCAAATGTCCTCCATCAGAAACTGAGACTTCACAGTCCAAGAAAGCCAACCTCCCATTTTTTACATCTTATGTGAACTTGATGTATTTATCCACAGAGTTGATGTGGTCAGTGAAATGTTGGACTTCCTGAGATTTAATTTTAACCCAGGTGTCATCAACATACCTGAACCAATGACTTGGTGGCGTCCCTGAAAGGATGCTTAGGACCTGACTCAACCTTGTTAGATGTATCTACCTGGATTACTGAGCAAGCATCGGGACAAAAACAGCAGTTCTTTTGAAAAGTTTGAAGGACTAAAAGTAAAATCAGGCCTGACTAACCAATGAGTTCAGCGGGCTTGTTGGGCCTCTTGTTGATAAAAGTTTCAAAGGCCTCCTTCATGGCGTTGATGAAAGCCTCGTTCCGTGCGAAGCAGCTCTGCACCACGTTGTCCATCTTGTCCTTAAAGTCCAGCAGGTCTTGAACCATGTCTTTATCTTTTTCTGGTGTGCAAACAATCTCTCCACCGAACGACTGCAACCAGAAAACGCATCCTGTAAATGTATTTCTAAGACAACACGCCTTTCTTTTTTCTCCATTAATGCCTAACGAGTGTACCTTGATATAATCCCTCCAAAACTGCAGCAGGATGGGAAGTCCTCCCTTCACTTTACTGAAGAGCTGGTAGAGGAGGGCCAGTTCAGTGACACGATTCTCATCCAGCAGATTGCTCAGACCTGCCACAAAAACCAGACAGAAACATGTTATTAGATTGGACAGACTAAAAATAAACACAACATTCAAAAGTTTTGATTTAGATCAAATTAACCAATAAAAAACATAACTGAATTTTACTCTGAAGAAAGATTACAAATATTTCTATTTAGCCATCGTTTATGATTTATTAGGTCTAATTCTACAATTTTACTAAAACCCACAAAGTAATAAAATGGAATTATTTTAATTAGGGTTTCAGAAACAGACAAATGCATGTTATTGCCAAGTTTATACGTCAACATAAAAGTATTCAGGCGCCTCCTGTGAAACTTTGGCCCAGTTTCTCTACGAGCTGCAACTTTTGGAGGTTAGTTGGTGAGATGCAAGACAATTGGTGAATTTTCAGTTGCAGAATCAAAATATTTTAAGTGTTTGAAACTTAGCGAACCATATGTTCACGTTCCGAGCTGTCGGTCATGTTTTGAAAATTACAATCTGATTTCACATTCACGGCTTGCAGCTCTAGATCCTAGAACATTATACTACTGTCTGCCTCCACTCACATCGTACCCGACTTGGTCTCCTTTGTACCCAACTCTGCAGCTGCCCCAAACATTTTGATTTCAGGAGTACACTTTTGAAATGAAATAGGCAGATTTGGACCAGTTTATCATATAGTCATTATTTATTATCAGTGTGGATTTTAGACATGGACATTTGGAGCGACTTTCCGTCAAGAGAAAATATACAAAAAGTACAGTGACTAGAACAAAGTCCATGCTCAATAATCCAGGTGTACAACCCAACAGTTTTCAGTCAGGTCATCTGGAGAGTTTCTTTTTTTGTGCTGAAACATTCCGCCTTCGATCCGGAAGGCTTCATCAGTCAAGGAAATGCACAACAAAACTGATTCTTCACCCAACAGCTTACTCAAAAGTGGAACAAACCAATTATGTTGGTGCTAAGATGGTCTCTTTGGCCACGCCCCCTCCTCCATTGCCGGCCCTCTTCCTTGTTGACAGTTGTGCCAAACTGGTTGAAGTTTGGGGGAAGAAACAGTTTTGTTGTGCGTTTCCTTGACTGATGAAGCCTTCTAGATCGAAGGCGAAACATTTCAGAACAAAAAAAAAGAAACTGTCCAGATGACCTGACTGAAAAATGTTAAACTGACTAGAATTGGAGACAAGTGCAAGATGCTTGTGATGACTTTGCCACTATTTTAAAAGAAAAACTGTTGTACAATTTTTTTTTAAACATGTTTAGAAATCATGCGTCAAGACTCAGAGTCTCTGTGACTCATACAGGGAAACAGAGAAGCCCCTGCACACGTTTTGAGACATTTTGGAAATTCCCAGGCGGATAATGTTCAACTAGTCGCAGCCTACTTAGATACAACCCTGAAGTGTCTAAATACATCTCCAGCACTCTAGAATTTATGAAAACTAAATTAAGAAAAGTCAGAGATGAGGTGTAACACTGTTTCACTCAGTAATAACTAGAAATATTGTGAAATATTAGTACTGCAGAATGAGAGGTGCTTTTAAAATCAAAACTAGCTGCAGGCAAAGTTCTGGTTGTCTTTTTAAGTATCCAAGCTTGATTCAATTAGTAATTTACAGAGACATTATATTTGAGCAAAGCATTATGCTGTGTAGACTCAAACCAGCTGGACCAATTATACTTGTTAGTCTGCAGCAGTAACACTTGAAGTCCCAGATCTGTGGGGCAGTGCATGTTGGCCTACAAGTCTTTTATAGAAGCAGAAATTTAGCCTGTGAAATCATCAGATATTACACCATTATTAATTTAATACAAAAACTATAATCTTCACAAGTGTTAAATAATACATTAAAACATAAATAAGGACATGCAGATGCACCTTTTTGTAATATTGCAGTCATATGTTCTCCTAAAAGTTGTTTCTCGATGCAGTTAATGAGAGGCTTCCTGTGAACAGATGAGGAGACACAACACATTAAGAGTGTAGAAGTTGAAACTAATGCATACGTGTTTATTACTCAACTATTCTGGGAAAATGATGTCAATTTCAGCTTCTCTCATTTCTAAGCGCAAAGGATATTTATGTGGTTGTTTATTGTTATTGCAGTATTTCGTGTGAATGTTGAGTCAGTATTCATACTTTTGCTTTTCTGTTTGTAGTTACTTTCGTACATTTTGTTCAGACAAACTACTTCAGCATACGTTCAGCTACTTTACCCATTCAGGTATCAAAACATTCAACTCATTCAGGACAGAACTTTTAGTTTGAGTAGCTGTCATAGTTTAACCATTTAACTTAATTTATGGATGTTTTTTTCATTTCAAATCATTAGGATTTACTTCAAATCCTCAGAAAATATAAAATTCTTTAGCACACGAGCTCTATTTTAGCTTTTAACTACTGCTTACCTGGTGTTAGCTTTAAGTTTGTTTTGCTAGTTTTGTATTGTAATTGTTGTTCTAAAAAAACAACAACTTTAAACTATTGTTCCATAGATTTTAGCTTTTGTTTTGCAATTTTTAGCTTTTAATACGTTAGCTTTTAGCTTTAGGTAAATGTTAGCTTTCAGTTGCAGTTAAGCAAATGTTAGTTTTTAAACTGTTCTGCTGGTTTTTTGCTTTTGTTTAGCAAATATTACCTTTGTTTTGCTGATTTTAACCTTTACTACAGTTAGATATTGGTGTGTGATAACTTTAGCTTTAGGTGCAGTTTTATGAAGTTGAACTTTTAGCTGCTATTTTACAAAGTAGAACTTTTTTGCTGCTGTTTTGCTGGCTAAAGGTTTAGCAACTGTATTGCTAATTAGATCTATTCGCTACTATGTTGCTTATTTAAACTTTAGTGTACCATTTTGCTGGTTTTATCTTTTAGCTACTGATCTGCTGGTTTTAGCTTTTTGTTTTAGTTAATGTTCTACTGGTTTAACCTTCTCCTGTTCTAATTTTAGCTTTTGTTTTGCTAAGCGTTTGATAATTTTAGCAGTTAAATTTGGCTCATTTTAGCTTTTGTTTTGCGAACCTCAGCTTTAGTTTGGATCATTTTAACATTTCAATTTTATCTTCTTCAACAAATTTCAACTGTCATTAGGCGCTCGGCATTCAGCACTGCGACCTCACAGAAATATAACGTTTTTCTCAATGCAGCAGCTGCATGTTTTCCTCACATCACGCAGCCCTGCTTTACAGCAGGCAGTTGCTTAACAACTCAGGAAAACAGCGACATCATTACGAGCCTTACTGAGTGCTCTGGTCGAGGTAGCTTGCGATTCGATCGTTCTCCTCGTCTAAACGGCGAGCCACGTGGTGCAAATACTCCGGAACCTGAACACACACATTCAGTTCTACTCATACGTAGAGCAGCGAACAGGTGATTGACTGTGATCACATGACAAACAGATCCATAAGTAGCCTCGCTCACGTCTCTCTCCTGCATCAGCCGCTGTCCTTCCGCTGCGTAGAGGCGATTCGTCTCAGTCAAAAATCTCTCCTCAAAGGAGTCCTTATAAACCTTAGACGAGTGAGACAGCTGGTTTATACAAGCAGAGTTTCAGTGCGTTTACTGATGAGGGTAAACAGGAGATCAGGTACCTGCAGGTCTGACAGCATGCCAAGCAGACTGCGGAGCAGACTGCGATCAATTGTCTCTCCGTTCCTCTCCAGTTCTATCTGCTCCAAAATGCCTTCCACTGTTCGTTTCTGGACGGCGCCGTCGCTCACAATGTGGGTGCGAAACAGTTCCAACCCGGCGTCCCTGCAGCACGCAGACAACATTAACGACTCAAGAGCATCCTGACAAACAGAACTTCTTAAAATAAGCTAATTTTACCAGATGGAAGGGAGCAGGGAGTTCTGAAGCACATAGGTACGATCCAGGAAGAGAAAGATACTCCGGATCATTATCTGTACACAAGAAATAGTTAACTCATTAACTCATTATCACTTAAATCCACTTTCCAGAAGGTGTGAAAATCTTTTGACTTACAGTTTGTCTGCAGTGGTCCTGCCAGCAGCGATTCATTCGCTTTAGGAAGGAAAGATTATCCAGAGACTCTGTGAGCTCCAAGTCAAGAAAAAAATTCAATACTGTCGCCCGTAAAAAAAAAAATCTGAGAAAACTGGTCTATTTCCCGTCATAAAGTATATTCTAAAAAATGTAAACACCCAATTTAATTTGCTAAATGTTTCTCCAGGTGTGTCATGACAGCACAATTAAAAAGGATATTCTCTGAACTGGTGGATCTGGGCCTGAACGTGATCCTCACAGACTTGACGCAGCTGCTTGTACAGCGTCGGGGAGACTTTGTACGAACACAGGTTCTCCACCGCCTTTTAGGTGTTTTGGTGAGATGTTTCATCAGAGATGTGGAAAAAAGACAAGAACACACAAAGCACATGTTTAAGACATTTACATCGAGATGTAAAATGTACAGCAATTGTTTTTCTAACCTAATAAATTATCTAAAGAAAACTGAGTGACTGACTTAAGAGGTCCAGAGGTGGAAACTTAAAGAATGTTTCTACTTTAATTGGAGACCACAACTTTGTGACACAAACATCAGATGGGGACATGAAAACAGGCGAGCGTTCAGTTGATCGCATTATCAGCCATGCAGATTGCACACAGACTGGGGCTTTTTCTCCTGACTGTAATTTTTTGGACACTTAAATCTTTTTTGACATTTTTGTCTTTATTTTTCAGATTTCAGACAAGGGATGTCGTGGCGGACACAAATGTATATATTTCACGTTAGAATGTGCTCTTATTGTGAAAGGGACAGAATATAAAAAGAGAAGATCAACGGTTGTAAATCATTTGTTTTTCTGAGTTTGATGTTGGAAGACGTAGAGAATAAAGCGAGACTCAAAATATTTTCCGTCACTTTCTGCCGACTTCCACAATGTAATTTTTTTTTTAATTTACCTTTTTTAATTCTTCACCTTTAATAAAGTCTTGAATTGCAGCTGCTGGGTGGCTCCTGAGTATCGGTGAGATCTTAAAGTTTTAAGTTTAAGTAAGTTTTAGAGTGGCCCCCATTCCTGCTTCCATCTTTAAAGCCTCAGGGAGGAGTGTGAGGGTTTATGGCCGAGCCTCCCTGCAGGTTTTGACTCAGACGAGACGTCAGCGGCGTCACTTGATCAACTGGCTGTTTCTTGACTAAGTCAGCTGTGAAACTTCAGCTTCTCTGTCTCTTTTCATTCAGGCAGTTTTAGGACCTTTGAACCTACCGGAACGGAACGGATCAGCAACAGGAGAAAATACTGGTTGATTTTTGATGGATATTGATTTAAGGGGTTGGGGTTGTTGGGCCCTTTCATAAACATTGCTTATATTGTTTTCCCCATCATTCGAAGCCAACTGCTCAATACTTCTACAAAAATGCCGCATTTATTATGTTAAATGAGGAAAATCTATAGTTTTAAGTAACTCTAAAGAACTCGGAAACCCCACCCCAAAAAGTTTGTGCATAGTATTCACCCCTCTAAACGCAGTACTTTGTCGAGACACCTTTGATTTTGTAGATTTGCCCCAGACATGGTGTTGTCCTTGATGTCTGGTCTTAAATGACACCATCTTCCAAATGTTTGGGCAAGAAACTCAGAAGAATTCAGCTTTTCCTTTTCTTTTCTTTAAGCAATGTGTTTCTCCTGCCCATTCTTCCATCAAGCCTAGCTCTGTGCAACTCATAATCCAAATCATAATCGGCCCTAAAACATGCATGCTAGGCTGCCTTCTGGTCCAGGCATCCCTTGCAAAAGAGATCTGTGATCTCTGCCTGGTTTAATAAAGGTAAATAGTAATGAATAATGATGTTATGGACAGGAATAAATACTTTTGTAACCCACTATATGTGAGTCATGTATATATGTATGTTTGTATATATGTATGTATATATATGTATGTATATATATATATATATATATGTATGTATG